GGTGTCAAATGCCTGTTTCTCCATTGACGGCCATTCAAATATTAAATAAAATAGGCAATGAAATATTAAATGAATAAAATACATAATAGATAAATAATTTTTGCCTTTAAAAAGACGAAATTTTTAAATAACGTTGTTGGTATAACCAGAGAGTTGACGGCACCCATTGACTTCCATAGTATTTTTTTCTACTATGGAAGTCAATGGGGTCCATCAACTGTTTGAGTACCAACATTCTTCAAAATATCGTCTTTTGTGTTCAACAGACGAAAGAAACTCATACAAGTTTGAAACAACTTGAGGGTGAGTACATTATATGACAAAATTAAAATTTTCGGGTGAACTATCCCTTTAACTTATGAATATTAATTAGTTTTCTTGACGCTCTGATGACGCTCTATGATGAACGTCAGCACGTCAAACTTAATATTCATTAGATACGCGTTTCCACGTGTTTTGTCCTTCTATCTCTTCTAGTTTTACACTTCCGCCGTTCCATGTGTATATTTTCGTTTACTGGGATATAACAATGGCTACTAAACGTCAAAATGGGGATCCTCCTGAGTCCGTTACAACACCAAAGAAAACCAAAACACAGGAAAGCGAGTTTAACGGCGCTGTCTTTAAGTCCATGCTGAAGGATTCCTCTAAAGCGATAAAGGGTGAGTGTTTGTCCATCAGCTTACACATGAAAACATGAAAAATCAAATGCTCGATTCGTGTACATTGTTGATCAATAATGTTCTCTAAACGGCAAATATCATGTTACAGTGTTCATCTCCCCAGACTTTTATTTTGTTTTCATATTTTGTTGTGCATGCGTACTACAACTGGTAGCAATTTAAGTCAAAAATACAGAATAATACGAAATTATTACTTAACACAATGTATAAATTATATATCCATTTATTAATACAAGTATTGCATTCATTGAAACTGCTAAATCAAGCAACAGTTTGTAAATGAATGTGTACTCTTTTGATTATTTTCTATAGTTTTGCAATGTAAGTATAAATACCCTGTAGTGTATATACCCTTGTGTGTGTGTGTACATAGGTAGATAAGTTTAGATGCACATAATGTTCATCAATGTCTATATACACATACTAGATTATTTGCATGACAGTGTCTAAGGAAAGAAATGTTATCATGGCATATTAACATGTACTTCTGTAATACATGTAGGTTTGGACACCTTCATAAAAATGGCGAAGAAACTCCCCAGCACTGAACTCTATGATGTAGTCGAGGGATACATCAAAATCTCAGTTGAATGTTCAGAGATTTTCGGATTACTGGAGGAAGAAAATAATTCAGAGTCAGAAGTAAGTCATGCATTAGAATTTTGTTTTGTTTATCTATTTACTTCTGAAAATTAAGAGAAAAAAAGTCAGAATCGCAAGTTATAAACTCAGACTTAAAGTTGTGAGATAAAGTCACAATTACCTTTTTTAATTGCAAACTTAGAGTTGCGTGAAAAAAGACACAATTGAAATTAAAAAAAGATAATTGCAATTTATCTGCAATTTTTTATTTCGGTTTATATCTCACAAATGTAACTTTTTTTCTCGCAATTCTGAGTTTATATTTTACAACTTTACAACAGGAAAAAAGGCAGAATTGTGAGTTGACATCTTGGAACTCTGACTTTTTTTTCTCAGGAATTCAAGATATAAACTCGAAAAAGTCCGATTTGTGTGATAAAAAGCAGACCAGCCAACATTAGCTCTTCTCGCTCCACAAAGAGTGCCGTTTGGCATTGATGAATTGCATGTAATGTGTTTTGCAGCTGACGCTGATATTCCAGAGTCTGGAGATGATTCTGCTGCGCACGGCCAGTGATCTGTCTCAGCTGAGCATGGTGGGCTCCAACATCGTCAGGAAGACCGTCTCCACTCACATCAAACTCCTGCTCTCCTCTCTACATTCTGACAATCACAGGTATTTCTCACGCAAATCCTAGTCTGTGTGATTATGCTTGTTTAACTTTTTCATTATTACACATGAACGATGCCTTTTTTTCATGATCATCTTTGTAGGACAGTATCTTTATTGGTTTTCGGGTACTGATATGCAGTGCATGTTATAACGAACCACTTTTTGAACCAAAGTTTTTGCAAATGCACTTAACGTTGTTTGCGTACCTGTTTTCTTTTTGGACAGGTTTGTCCGTCAGTGTCTGTGTTTGCTGTCCGCTCTGGTGTCTCAGGGTGCGGAGGCGGCGAGGGAGATCTTCGGCCTAATGCAGTTCAGCAAAGGTCTCACTAACCTCGCTCAGAGAAGAGACAAAACGGTAAGTGCTTCACACACTGCAAACTTTACATTTTCATTCATTCGCTTTTATCTAAAGTGTCTTACAAATGTACTTTCTGGACCAAAATAACACCCTCTTTGCCTAATACTAACACTTAAGTCAATTATTTAACCAGGCAATTCAGTCCGGTGAAACACATATAAACATACATTACAATACATATGTATATACATTAAATACACACACATATTCAATTGAAACATTGACAGGCTGTGATAAAAACACTCCCTGTTAGTTTTTTAAATGTCAAAATGTATTTATATAGCATTATTTCATAATACACATGGTTTTAAAGCGGCTTTACTGAAAGTCATGATATTAATATTTATAACAAGTTAATATTCTCATGCCTTATAATCATATTTAGCAGATTAGAGTTGGGTTTACATATATTTTACATTTTCCAATGATACAAGCAATCAAGCTGTTGAGTTTTGCTATATATTATATATTGCTTTACGTAAAAGGGCTGTATGTATGTGGATAAAGTTGGACATATTTATATATTCTAGTTTATATAAAGAGCTGGGCAATAATATAGTTGCATTTGGCTACAAAATCAGGCAGTTGAGATTCGCAATATATTTCACTTTACATATAGTATTTATGTGAAGAGCTTTGCGGTAATACAGTTTAATTTTTGTGATTACATGAACAGTCATACAGATGAGATTTGCTATAATATATGACTCTATTATGGTATATATTGCTGTGCATGAGTATACTGTATGCATGCAAGTAAATATAATGTACAATCAATCCAACTTTAATTTCTCTCGCCGATAGTTTTAATTTTTTGACGATACCAATCAAGCAGTTGAGATTTGCTGTATTGTGTAGTTTGCTTTTTCATGCAGTTGTGTTATTTTGTGTTATATTTCCAGGGAAAGCCAGATGTTAGAATGGCTTACATTCAGTTTGTCCTTTCATTCCTGATGTCTGGAGACAATACAACTATTGGCCAGATACTGGAGACTAAAGGTATCAGTGACTGAATCTGTGTGCGTTATGAATTTTGCTTTTGAGTTGTCTAAAAATAAAAAATTGTCTCCTGCTCTTTAGATTTCTTGTCTGAAATCTTGACCAATGGACTTACAGATGATAGAATATCCATTGTAAACCTGATTCTGTCCACCCTGCAAACCAGAGTAAGACGCTCCCGCACGAATGCCATTTACCACTGTGAGATGCTGTGTATAACTGTGTACTATATGTGTCCATAGGTTGTGCAGAATAAGACCATCACGAAAACTCAGAAAGTGCGTTTCTTCAGTGCTTCTGTACTGAGACAGATAGCCTCCCTCTATAAGTGGAACGGGATTGTGGATGTCAGCATGGATGAGAAAGAGGTGGAGATTTGGACACACTTGCACCCAATCACACCATCTCTGACATTTTAGTCAATATTTATTTTTATTTATACAGTTTCGAGTTACTGGGACAGTGCACATTAATAAACATTTATGTCAATGTGCCAGTTTAGCCAACTTGGCTCATTTTCAACTGTAGTCCTCGGGCAGGTGTAATGTCGGATCAAATACATTAAAACAAATCAACAATACTTATACATACAGTAGACCACATTTCATAAGCATACATAAAGTACATTAAATCATGAAACTTTATGTCTGTTTATGTCTCTAAAGATACAGTCTGCAACACGTCATATACTTGGGCCGTGAAATCGAATCCTGCTTAAAATACCAATCCATTCATTTCTAGGTTTACAATTATCCAATAGATTTGACTGTATTAGAAAGTTAAATATGACTAATTTAAATGACTACATAATATTTTATAGGGATGCAAGGAGACCATTTTTTCAGGACCGATCCGATACCAAAAATTCTGAGTATCGACCGATACCAGCGCAGTTTTTTTTTTTTTTATCAAGTATAATTTCTATAACTTTGTGTGTTGAACTGATAATCATTATTTTGTGTGTTAAACACAATCTACTTAATACAGACAACTTCATTATAAAGAAAAACAACAAATAAAAAAAATATATGATCATAATCTATGACAAAGATGCTATTATGAACTAGATTAGTGGATAATTCAGCAGTAAAATTTAATCTAGAAAATTCACGAGTGCACAATAATTGTATAAAATCTGAACATTTAGTGAAAAAAACATTTAGTGGGGAACAAATAAGAGACAATAAGTGTAGCACGAAATCTGGTAAAACGTTACACATCGCTCTTTGTATTGTTGTAAAATACATTCATGAAAGCCTACTATAAAATTAAGAAATTTTTTAAGTGTATAGCACAGCTGTTTAATGAGTCAGCAACGTATTATAGATAGGACAGAACAAAGAAAGGCTATTAATAATCTTTCATTGCGCAAAAGTATTATAATATGATTATATACAGTGCGGCACACGGCGCTTATGCGCATCCCGAGCGCAGAATGATGCGTCTGAAGCCACATGGAGTGTGCAGCGTCGCATTCGTAGAGGGAAGTTCGGATCATTTTACTGACTCGGATCTTTGAATCTCGTTCATCAAAATGAACGAATCTTTTTTCACGTCATTTCGTTCATTTCAGCAGAATGTATTTAAAATGTTACATGTCAGCCAAATTCCCCAAACACATCAAATGTTGATCGCATTTAGAATAAGAAAAAAATTGCAATGCAAGGAAAAGGCCAAATTATGAGAAACAGAAACAATTAATTAATTTATCTTGGTCTTCAGGCTATACGCACAACTGGCGCTACGTCATTGAATGTCTTTGAACAGATTCACGCCCACTTTTGGGGGAAATAAACTAGACTTCCCATAGACTTCAATACAAAATAGCGTCACAAAACAACGTCCGTACACAGCCGAAAGGCGTGAATAACTTAAGAAATCACTAAGATTAAACATATCAAGTAATTATATGTCCACCCTGTCTGCCATAGAGCGTAAAAGATACATACACAAACTAAATTTGGTCAATTTAAAAACATGTCCCTTCATTCTCCCAGCGTCAAATTGGTGTAACAACCCCACCCAGTGGCCAGAGTCTTTCTTTTACTGTCTATGGTCTTACCCTGACATTTACTCTTATCGTACTTCATCGAGTCACCATATGGTAAGCCAGTGAATGATTTTACTTAGTTTTTGAAAGTAAACGTCTTTAAATGTATATATTTTGTCCTATAATATACATTATAATATATATAACCTCACTGGGTGGGGTTGTTACACCAATTTGACGCTGGGAGAATAAACGGACATGTTTTTAAATTGACCAAATTAAGTTTGTGTATGTATCTTTTACGCTCTATGGCAGACAGGGTGGACATATAATTACTTGACATGTTTTATATAAGTGATTTCTTAAGTTATTTACTCCTGTCGGCTGTGTACGGACGTTGGTTTTTGCCGTTATTTTGTATTGAAGTCTATGGGAAGTCTAGTTTGTTTTCCCCCAAAAAGGGGCGGGGACGAAATTGAAAGTTAAGTTAAGTTAAGTTCCCGGATGTGCCGGTTGTGCGTATGCAGTCTGTCAGTTTACCTCATCTCCCGATCTGAGCCGTTCGTTCATCCCGTAACATCATCATAAACTGAGCTATGCAGTCTGTAGTACCGGATACAGAATTGATTAGTTCACCGGCTTCGGGTTCGAGACATTCGTTAATCACGTGACAGCACCAAATAAGCTGAGCTAGCAGTCGGTACCGGATACAGAATTGATTAGTTTTATCTTTTGAGTCATCGGGTTCGAGTCCTTCATTCATCACGTGACAAAAGAACGAAGAATCAGACCCAAAGACTCGAGAGGTGAACTAATCATTTCTCTCTCTAGTACCGACAGCATAGCCTCTATGGAACTGACAGGAAGAACTAAAGACTTGGACCCGAGCCCGAAGACTCAAGAGATGAACTAATCATTTTGGTTTCCAGTACAGAACCCATAGGATGTTGCGCATGCGCGGTCAACACAAAATGAACGAATTACTCATTTATTGAGCCTTTTCTTTTAACAGTTTTAAATTTCAGTTACTATGCGCGTGAAGAACAATTATAGTGCTCTGACTCTACTCTAGTGTTGTGATCTAACAGACACGTGGGAGAAAGTGATTAAGGTACAGCAATAAAGTCCAGCAAGATAAAGTCATTTTATGCGAAGCCATAGACCTTTATCTACAGATCAAGTATAATAAGAGTAACGTTGAATCATCTTGGAGAGAGTTTCATCGTGTTGACTGTCGTAACCGAACGCGACGCGCTGTTTGATGCCGAATGGAGAATGACTGACAGCCGCAGCGGAGGGAAGAGTTTACGTGAACTTGAATTTAACGACTTAAATATTCATTTCTATCTCACATTATACTATAGAAAGGCTTCAGAACACTTATAAGATAGTGCACGAAAACTTTATGGTGCTTTATAATGTTTTTGTGCCTTTTGTGGGGCTTAACAGTAACACAGAATAGTATAATAGTAAAATGCGCATAGACGCACCGTTATGATGAATGCCCATGCGGCCGCTTCAAATTAGCGCCAATTCGGGGCTTAAATTGCTTAAATGGTGGATTCATCATTATTCTTAATGAAAAACACAACTAATCCTTTGCAGGTTCCTTATTAGCATTGGGTTTAAATCCAAAATTTTGCCAAATAATTTGGCGCTTTCACATTGTGCTTTGAAAGCAAGTCTTCCACCATCGTCTTGTCAGTCAGCTCGCCTCACTCTCGAGATAAATGATATCCGACTCCTGCTGTTGATCTGTGCTGCGACTCTCGTTCGGCTCACGCTGAATTGAGCAGACTCTCTTTTCTGTTGTAACCACGGTTGTAGATGGGAGAAAATATGAACTAATAATCCCATAACATCCATTTCACTCCTTATTATCCAATCAAACTCTGATGTCAAACAAGTCTCGTCCTACATTTCCCACTGAATGTTCTGTTATGCTCAAAGGCGTTACATTACAAATGTTGAACACACTGCCAATGGCTTTTCATATTGTCTAAGTTTTTGTATCCATAATTAACATCTTTTGTAAACAGAAGGATGAAGAGGCAGGGAAGCGTATAGTGAGGGAGCTGGTGCATAACTTCCTGCTGGACATATGCTGCTCTCGCAAACATGGGATCAGCTTTCATGACCCGAGCCTGGGCACCGCTGGAAGGTGAGTCCTTGAGATGCTCATGTTGGCATTCTTGCCGCTGCAATGTATTTCTTAGTTTATTTAACAGGGTCAATGGGTAGTCCACGACTGCCCCAGAATTAGGATAGAGAATAAGCTCTTTAACTAACAGAAGTTTATGAATCTTACACGTTTTGTTCATGATAATCTTCACTAATATACACAACTTTTGAAGCCCAAATACAATTGGCAGAAGGAACAAGTAAAAAAGTAAATCTACATCACACGACTTCACCATCACTAAGCTTCTGACAAGTCTTTCAGTATTTATTTAAGAACAATTTCCCTGAAAATTCAAGTTATAACCATTTGCAACAGTGTGATTATAAACACAATGAGGTTGTGAAAAGACTAGTGAGTAGATGAGATTATCTGATTGGCGTGAAGACGTTTAATGTCCTCTATAACCTCTGTAGTCCCATTTAGCCACTTGTTAAGAAGTAAAAAGCTTTACAGAAATCAAAAGGATGTATTTCTGATGTATTTTATGTCATAGAATAGCATGCAAAAATGTCTTGAGCTTGTGTTAACCTCAGATCTTATGTCAGGCATTTAACCAAAAACCCAATAAAAAACGGGACGACGAAACCAGAAATGCGTTCCTGTGTTTTGTCCTACAAAAATACATTATCCCTGCAGCACTCTATCACCTAAATACAAAATTAGAAATGATCCATATATGTGACCTGATCCAGCAAAATGAGTCACAGTGACCCAAATTTAAAAATTGAGATTTTGGTATTAATGGAAAGGGGAGACCATAAGCTTTCAATTGATATCCTAGTCAAAGTCATACCTTGAATGGTTGTAAAGATATACATATTTGAATTATGGTCGTCTGCCCTCTTTTTCCAATTGAAAACCTGAGAAAATTGCTTTTAAAGTTTTTTGCCCGTTTTTTGTTGATATCTTTCAAAATCCATTACATTTAAAGGGATAAACTATTTATTTTACAGCTTAATTTGACCAAAGACATTAATATATAAATGCTATTAAACCAGGCTGAAGCTCAAATTATTTTAAAGTTTTAAAGTTTTTATTTGAATAAATAATTTAACAGTAGGCCTACCTTTTACAAAAATGTACTAAAATCAGAAAGATTGAACAGAGGTGCTACATTTTTGCTTGAGAGAGAGGGAGGGTGTGTGTGTGTGTGTGTGTGTGTGTGTGTGAGAGAAAGTGAGAGGCAGAGAGACAAGGAAACAGAGATCAAATAATGCTAGTCTATGCAATCATATCTTAGTGTAGGCTAGTTGACAATAACAGCGTAACAAATTCATAACGGAGATAGGCCTACCAACAGTTAAATATTGGGTTAATCAAACACATTGTAATGGATTCTCCTTGCAGATAAATAGCTACACTCATTCACATTTGTCAATCACGTTATGTCAATCACGCTTGCACACTACGAAACTTTCATCCGTTATATAAAAACAATCGTAAGTTTTTCGCATCCGTAGCAAGCAGTTTGAATGGTGTTTTGACAATTCGGAGCCACCGAATCAATACGAAAAAACGCGGACTCAGTGTGCAATGGCCAGGGGGCTTGATGACGCTTTGGCAACTTTGCTCGCTTTTGACAGCGACATTTCTCAAATTAATAATATTTAATCTTTCTGAGGAGATCTGCTAGCTTGTTTATTACACAGAGCGCTCGCTGCGAGTCTGACAGGAGGGTGGCTGGACCAATCGCGTGCCGGTCAGTCGAAACGGCTTCCCATCGACAAATGATCAGCATTTGTGTACATTTTTAAGCTTTTTGATTGGTTCTATACAACGTGTAACACCATTTAAAGAGCAGAGATAGTGACGTTTCAGGGGATACCCGGGAAATGCTCAGAGGTGACGAGAGGAGTTGAGAAAAGCAATGTTCATTTCCAGCGAATTTAGTAAAACTTTGTACACTTTAATAGTAATTTAAATACCTTTACTCAATTATCTGGACTACGAAACTTTGGGAGATTATTTTTGAATGTGTGTTCTTTGAAATTAGCACAAAAAAAAAAATCTATTATTTCATTGTTTTTCCACATAATCGGCCCATATCTTAAAATAGAACGTTGCGACTTCCGACTCATTTCGCCAGATCGGGTCACATATGCTTAAAACACTGTTTTATCAACTTGTGCCAGTAAAATATGACAATACCAGCACAAACGCTTCAAAAATAATCTCCCAAATGAAAAAAAAAAAGATAGACTGTGCCCAAAACACTCACACACTGTATCCCCAGAGCCGGAAACATCGTTCTCCTGCAGTTCCTGGTGGGGCTGAAGCAGGCGACGGAGGACGAGATGGTGGCGGAGCTGGTTGTTAGTGTTCTGAAGGGCAGTCCTGATATACTGACCAGATACTTCAAAGAAACCCAGTTCTCGTTCTCTCCACGAATCGCCAAAGCCTGGCAGGACAACATCACTCTGCTCAAGAAAGTGAGTCTGATTCCTTTCTATGTCTTTTGGTTGCTTTATGTGATTTATGTCATGTGGTGCAGTGCTTTCGTTTCATGTAACAACGGGGAAAATGTACCTCTTAATGATGTTAAGCATTAACGGATCTTTCAGATGCTACTTGCTCAAGGTTTGATGTTGTTACAGATCTATGAGGCTCAGCCGGAGGTGTCCAAGGCTTTCCAGACCAGTGAAATGGTTCCTTTACCTCGACTGCTGGCAATGGTGTTGGTCACGTCTTTCCCTTCAGTGTGCAATAAAGTCTTCTTCACTCAGGGTCTCAATGTAAGTGGTAGATTTAACCAATCACATCATCTGAAGTTTTTGGCTATCCCGTTATTGGGCATTATTAAAGGGATAGTTCACCCAAAAATGAAAATTTCTGCCATTAATTACTCACCCTCATGTCGTTACAAACCCGTAAGACTTTCGTTCATCTTCGGAACACAAATGAAGATCTTTTTAGTGAAATCTGAGAGCTTTCTGTCCCTCCAAAATGACATATTTAAAAGTTTTTTCCTCGAAAAAACATTCGTCATGCCTTAAAATATCTTGAATGTAACTCTAAACCCTTGGCTCATTTAGTATACGCGGTTCTATGAATATGCAAATGAGCCCCGCCTCCACTCACTCACTCAGCTCAGAGATCCACTCGTTGACGATCACACGTTGATCTGATTGGTTACAAGGTAGTTTGTGACGTCAGAAACACCAGTGATTTCAAACCGTGTTTTTGAGACTGTCTTTGGTTCACTGCAGTTTTAAGGAGAAAATACTCAGCAATGCTGTCGACTTATGAATTTGCACATGGTTTGTCTTAAAGCATATTAAAAACACCACATAGACATATAAACAACATTAAAAAGCTTGGTTTTCATTTTTTTTTATGTCATCTTAAAGGGATAGTTCACTTTGAAATAAATTTTTGATATGTTTTAGCTTACCTCAAGGGCATCCAAGATGTAGGTGTCTTTGTTTCCGCAGTAGTTTCAATTTTGATATTTTTAGGTCAAACCGTTCTTGTCTGTCAGTCATATAATGCAGGTCTATGGTCACCACCTCAAAGAGCATGCACAGAGAAGTCCAAATTAAACATGATTTGATGACTCGTAAATGTAAGTACACATTGATGGCCTAAGACACGAAACGAGCGGTTTGTGTGAGAAAACGAACAGTATTTATATCGTTTTTACCTCTTGTAAACACAGCCACGTCCAAGTGATCTGAGGGCGCGGGCGCTTCGGTCTGTGCGTTATAAGAGGTAAAAACTATATAAATACTGTTCGTTTTCTCACACAAACCGCTCAAGGTAAGCTAAAACATATCAAATTAATTTCAAAGTGAACTATCCCTTTAAAATAATCTGAGACATTTCTTCTTCCTCTAATAGATACATAACTTGGTGGTCCAGCACACAACACTTTCCCTCCTGGTGTTTATTCTCAAGCGAGCGCAGAAGAACATTGAGCTCTGCCTGGACAAACCCGCCTGGGAGAGTTCAGACGCTCACAGCCCGGCCGTGATGGAGGAGTTCGTGCAGCTTTACAGAGAGGCGCTCAGCAAGGTGAGGATGGTGGGAAAACAACTGGAATGAAAGGGTTTAAACCGAGGGAATAAAGAAACGATCAGTGTTTATCCTTTTGGCGCCACAGATTCTACCGGACATGATGTGTGTCGTCTCCAACTGGCAGTCGCTCTCAAAAGAGAAGGGAGATGTAGCAAAGACGAAGAACGCGGAACAAAAACAGACCAAAGAACATCGTAATAATCTTTTTTTTTTATTTTTTATGTATAGACTTGCTGTTGTTGTTTCCCACACTGTAAACGTGAAGTGTTGTTTCTCCATCAGCGCGGCAGGACGATGCACAGCTCATTCTGGTGAAAGCTCTTCTGCTCCAGGTGATGTGTTTGTATCAGCGGGTCGTGCCTCACCTCGTCAGCCAGAGCAAATTCGATTTCAGCAAACTCCTGAAAGGTACAGTTGAGAACAGATATAGTGCCTTTAGCTTCTGACCTGCTGTGGAAGGAGTAAGCGACTCATTGAAACGTTTGCAGGCATTGTGACGGAGAGGGGAATGAAACAGGAAGTTCCTCCAGTTCTACAGTATCAAATTATTCAACTGGCTCTTGAACTTCCTGCAAGCAAATTCTCCTGGTTCCGCGTTCAGGTGAGAACTTTTATTCTTGGATGCTGCGCTTGTATGCTAGCTTTATAGTCACATTATTCAGGTTTACGTGACCTTATGTCTTTTCAACAGTTGCTGATGTTTTTCAGATTATGTATTTGGTTTTTCGAGAGTTTCACTTTTTTTCTTGTTTTTTTCCGGCACAGGAACTAGCAGATCCAGATCAAGAGAAAGGAGAGAAATCAGTCTTCTATCTGTTACTTAAGATGTTTGTAAGTTGTAACAGTAGCTACTTGAAGACCTCAACCAGGATGCTGGTCCTAAAGGTGAGTTCAACCGCACACAACAACAGAAGAAGACATACAAAAAAAACCTTTGATCGTTGCTTAACAACCAATAACAAGAATTGTAGATCATTTAATTTATCTTTACATATTTCATTGCAATTCTAAGATCATTTATTATATTGATTATTATTATAGTATAGGTCACCCAAAAATTAGGGCTGTCAGTTAACCGCGTTATTAACGGCGTTAACGCAAACCCATTTTAACGGCGTTAATTGTTTTATCGCGCGATTAACGGTCTTTTTGGCCTAGCAAAGTTTGTCGTTTTTTTCACATGCTTTTGCAACAGGGCGAGGTGCTACGCTATGAAACCCATTCATTTCAATGGCTTGCGCCGCGCGAGGACGTTTTGAAAGCGCAAGCGGATCTAGCTAGACCGTAAACAAAACAACAGGCACGCCGCACACACTTGTTTGGGCTTGCGAGCCGGCCAAATAGTAGGTTAACGTTACGTTTTGAGTGGATGACGAGCGAGAGACGCCGAAATGGATGCCAATAAGATTCTGAATGGAAAGTTTACTTTTAAAAAGTTGCCAAATGGTTCCATTGACAAGACCAAAGTGATCTGTGTGTTTTGTCGTTGTGAACTGAGCTATCATCATCGCAGCACGTCCAGTCTGAAACACCACTTGATGATGGCCAAGCACACACACACACACACACACACACACACACACACACACACACACACACACACAAACAGCTGATGCGAATTCTCCGCCCCCTCGTCAATATCAGGACTTCGTCAGTATTTCTTTCACCCTTTTATTGATGGACAGTGTTACACTGTGTGAGAGATTATTTGCTCCAAGTGAGAATGTGAAATTGGACACAGTATATGCCAATGTTGTTTTCAATTAAAAAAACATTTTCACAAAGCAAGCCGATCCACTTTTCCATGTTGATAAGAGCATTAAAATGAGAAAAAATAATGGGACAAAAAGAAATCAAGAGACATTTATAATAGATAGAAATGTGCGATTAATCGCGAGTTAACTATGACATTAATGCGATTAATCGCGAGTTAACTATGACATTAATGCGATTAATCGCGCTTAAATATTTTAATCGTTTGACAGCACTACCAAAAATAAAAATTATTTTTATTATTTATTATACATCCATGTCGTTTCATGATTCACAATGCTGTTACTCTTTGTACTATTTTTTTTAATACTGTTCAACTATGTAATACTATGTAATGCAACTAGTGAAACAAGACTTTACAGTGTTAAAAAAAGATTAATTGATTTTAAAACTTTGCAAAATCCTCCCAAAAAGTGTTTAAAATGTCAAAAACAAAATGATGGTGTTTAAAAGTAGGAAAAAGTCAAAAGGATAAACAGTGGAGGGGTTTTGCGCAACAAACATATTATTCTGTAAACCGTATTCTGTAAAACAGGCCGCATGGCTTCTGGTTCAGGTGTTTTGGATGTGCTTTGTTAAATATAGCGATGTTTTACTCGAGAGCAAAGATGAGCGTAACAGATGTCCATCACATATGCAGATTGATGCTTTTTTATTTTTCTTCTCACTAAGATTTCGATAATTAAATTGAACAAAACTCCAACGATAAAAAGAACTAGCTAAGTTAGCTGAGTACCTTAAAAGTCCATAGATGCTTCATCCAACAAGAAAGCGGATACAATCAGAGCTGTTCTCCTACTCAGCAATGCTGTCGACTTATGAATTTGCACATGGCTTGTCTTGAAGCATATTTAAAACACCACATAGACGTATAAACAACATTAAAAGCTTGTTTTTCACCACAGGGGGACTTTAAATGGTCTGCTGGGTGCTGATTTGTTGTCCTCTGCTTTCAGGTGTTGAGGGACAGTGGTGTGTTTGAGCACACGTGGAAGGAGCTGGAGTTATGGCTGGACCGTCTGGCACGTTTGGACCCATCCCAGCAGGAGGCCGTTGTTCAGTTCTTAGACCATGTACTGCATTCTGACCACTTTTACTGGGCTTTTTATATAACCGTGTCAGTGTTACGAATGATACTAAGATGATATTTTGTCGATTAATAGCCGAGTGACTCATGATTCATAGTGAGAAAATATTTTGGGAAGGACTTGTTTTTATCCTAATCAAATACATAGCTCATTTTGAAGTGAAAAATATTAATATTAATTTTAGAGTTTTAAAAAAACGTTCTAAAAAGCGGTTAAAATGTCAAAACAAAATTGCGGTGTGAAGTAACAGTAAAGACACTCTAATGCCCTGGTTAATTTTGAGATGTTGTGCTTCCATCATATGTCTATTTTCAGACTATTCGAATGAAAGCGTACAAAAAGTGTTTGTTTTATTACGTTTTAACTATTTGTGTCTAGATTTTAATTGCAATAAATAGGGATGAATTCAGGTTGATTGGGACACTTTTTCCGAGTCAAAAAGTGTCCCAATAAACCAGAACTCACCCTTATCTTTAAAGGCTCAACTTGTAATACAAAACACTTGTCTTAATGTAGCGTGATGAATCAACTGGGGAAGTTTGGTGATATCTGTTACCTGATTCACATACAGGTTATGCTCTGATCCACTTTTAATATGATGCCGTCACCATTACGTGTGATTTGAAGTGGATGTTTTGTGTCGGCAGGTTTTGATGCGCGTGGTGTGTGACCCACACGTGTACACTGAGAAAGCAGCGAGTGCGGTCCAGGAGGCAGCGTTCCTGCAGGCCAATCTGAGCGGCCAGGAGGGGGACGAAGCCAGCATCCCCATATCACACATCGACGGTTAGCTTTACACACATTTTTATATATGCTTCTACAATCTGAGGTCATGCTGGCACTGTTAGGGATGTAAATATGGATTAATCTGGGTTTAATTCTGTCAATTAGTGTTCATCGGAGGGGTCCAAGACCTCAGGACTTTTGTCGCACTTGAACCAGGAATACACACACACACACACACACACAAAATGTAATGGATTCGAGGAGTTTTGAAATTTAAAAAAGTAACAAATCCTTCCCTCGCGGGTCATTTTGACCCCCAAAGGAATGAATGGGATGCGAGGAATGCTTCAGTACACATAGAAAACCCTAAAAATGCTCAAAATTCAAACTAAAAATGATTTAACTTTACCAAACATGATTTTATAATGTCTACAAGTGTATCTGAATGCATACTGATGTCAACTGACTTTAGGACCCAGCGGAACAGTGGCAAGAGTCATGAAATATCATGTTATATAATTTCTTTTCCCACAAGAGGTCGGGAAAGACACCCAATTTAAGATATTTTGAGCTGAATTAAAAGGGTCATGCATGAAATTGTGAGTTATTTTGAATTTAAGTTGAAAGAATGTGAGGAATGTGCTTAAATTACTTTTTATTTATTATTTATTGATCAAATCTAGTAATTTTAAGAAAAAAAAAAAAAGATATTATCAAAATGAAATGAGCTTTCTGTAAAAAAAAAACAAAGTATAATTTTAGGGCTTCGGGTCATTTTGACCCCACGAGGGAAGGATTTGTTCCAGGACGCGAGGGAAGGATGAAGGTTAAACGTGTGTTTTACTCTGTGTTTTAGATGTGCTCGACATGGTGGATGTTATAGTGGAGGGCAGCGAAGGGGACGTTGAAGAGATCGGACCTTCCTTCACCGAAGACATCATCCTCCAGACGTTCCCGTTTAGCGCCATCATACCAGCTGTGCTAGAGGCTCGCAACAAACTGCCAGAGAGTTTTAAAGATGGGAAAGGTAACGTCTCGAATTTGAAGGTCAGCGTAAAGTGTTCTTATTTTGCCTTCTGAGAAACATCAGTGAACGGAAGTAGCTTCTGAAAGGCAGTACTAGGTGAAAAAACATGATCTTTAAACAAAATAAGAAGTCGGCTTCATTCATCCTGTTCAAAAGTTTTCACCCCCGGCTCTTCATGCATCATATTTCCACGCGTTCGTGTGGCTGATGCTCTGTCTGTTGTGCAGGCGTGGTGTACGAGTACATGGCATCAGTCCTGTGTGATGTCCTGCACTGTCAGAGGGACCCGCTGGCTCTGTGTCTGACCCTCCAGCACTACGATGAAGAGCTCAACTCATCAGAGTCTTCATCACCTCCTCACGCCTCTGTCCTCACCTTCTACCACTACTACTCACAATGGCTCCCCAAAAACACACGCAAGACACTGGTACAACTCATTAGGGGCCAAGCACCTAAAGTGCAGTGCAATTGTTAGCCTTTATCTTCTGTTGCTGCTGCTTCTTTTGAGCGTATGGAAGCTTGTAAACCCGTACAAAGGAAACGTTATGAAATTTGGCACACAGATGAGGACAGTCTGTTATCATAGCAAATTTGCTGTCTCTGGTCTTGATAGATTCCTTGGTTCACGCGCAAAACAGTAATTAAAAACTACTTGAACTACATGAACCTAGACTTTTGGTCCAATTCTCACTAAATATGACTCTTCAGACCATGTCAGCAAAACGTTATATATATATAATGTTGGTTAGTAGGTAACACTTTAGTTTAGGGTCCAATTCTCACTATTAACTATTCACCTAGAAATATGCATGCTAATAAGCAACTAATAATATAACTAATGTTGTGAAATGGAATATTATAGTAAAGTGTTACCGTTTCAAATTTAGGTAAATGCTTCTTATATAAATGGCTGTCTGGAGTTTCAAAGCTCATTTTTTTCCTGATTGCCTTGTCAATCTTTCCCACAGTTCATGACTGAAGACTTCGGTGAGGATCGATCTTGCGTTGGTTTCACCGCTCTGCTGAAGGCCGTCTATAGTGAAGGAGCAGATGCTTTCCTACGGGACTCTTTTGAGGAGGCAGCACAGGACGCTCTGTCCTCTCTGGATGTGTCCCAATTCCCAGTGGCTGTCAATCAAGTGCTTCTCTACCTCAGACACTTCGTCGGCACTTTCAATTCGGTATTGAGCCATTCAAAAATATATATATGAGTGGTTTCTGTGAACTAAAACTAAAAACTAGGCATATTGTGTCCGATTCAAGATTTTAAAGGGATAGTTTACACAAAAAATAATATTCTGGCATCATTTACTTTTCATTACCCTTTACATTTCATTACCCTCGTGTTGTTCCAAACTTTGACTTACTTTCTTCTGTGGGACATAAAAATATATTTCAGAGAAGGTTGGTAACCAAACCATTTTGCTGAGCATTGACTTTCCATTTTATGGTAAAAAAACCCCCAGATATTTCTCAAAATAATTGATGTTCCACATAAGAAAGTAATGAACAACACTTCAAGGTGAGTAAATGGTGACATAATTTTCATTCTCCCTTTAAAGTTTCAGAAAACTATACTGACATCTAAAATGATTGATTTTCTTAAATATGTTTCATATTAGCTAGTAAAAAAAAAGCAATGAATCCCTGAATATACACTACCAGACAAAATATTTTTTACTGTTTTTGAAAAACATCTCTTATGCTCACCTAAACAGTAATATTGTGAAATATTATTACAATTTAAAAGAACTGTTTTGTATTTTAAAATGTAATTTATTCCTGTGATCGTCAAAGCTGTTATTCCAGTCTTCAGTGTCACATGATCCTTCAGAAATCACTCTAATGATGATTAGCTGCTCAGTTATTATTAGTGCTTATAATTGTTAAAGTTTTGAAATATTACCTTAAATCTCGGAAGTCTGAGGGGTTTGTCTGAGGAGAGAGTCCGTGTCCTGAATGATGTTCACTGTGTTGGCCCGCAGCTCCCCAAGGAGACGGCAGCCGAGGTGTTGGGTCGTCTGATGGCAGTGCTGAACTCTCTCATCCTCAAACTGCTGAGCGCAGAGACTCAACCCGAGTCCGCGGGACAGCCGGACGAGGGGGACCTGTTTTTGGACACAAACCATCTCCCTGCGCAGAACATTGATAAGAAACAGGTAGCCAGCCTTGATCTTAATGTTTGGTTTTAATTTAAAGAAATATCTTGAGTTATTTCAGAAAACGTATTAATTAAGTAAAATCAATGCGCGATTAATTAAAATAAGACTGTAATCGCATATTGCTTAGTATGGTTATCAAATCGCAAAGGCTGTGATTTAATTAAATATATGCGCTGCGTGTTTCGGAGTGAAGCGCGGGACTGTTCATTTACTTGTGACAGGAGAGAAGCTTTAAAGGGCTCCCTGTGCTTTTCCATGAAATGGAAATGATTCCCCCTTCTATGTGAAGCGCTTTGAGTGTCCAGAAAAGCGCTATATAAATGTGATGAATTATTATTTTAGATTTTTTTTATGTGTGTTTGTAGGGATATTAAATTATTGTATACAATTAATTGTAATATTAGTGTTATGATTATTTTTTTATAGATAGATAGATAGATAGACGATTATTGTTGTTATTAATATTATAAAGCCATATATAATCACAAAATTATAATACAATATAATTGTGCAGCCCTACAAAAAAGCACAGCAAACCTGTATCAAGTAGGCGTCGAGGGGCCGCATTCATATATTTGCACATTTATTTTTGTGTTTTCGCTTTTTTTTTTTTTTTTACACAGGAAAAAAAATATTATGACAGAACAACAGAACATTTGTTGGGCAAATGGCAGTCAAATTTTTTTTAATCAGAAAAATCACAATTCGATTCCCCCTCACCCCCCAATATGGCGAATGTAGGAATCGAGTCCAGAAACCTTACACTGACTACGTTTACATGCAGCCAATAACCCGTTCAAAACGCACGGCCATGTAAACACCGGCAAAAACCCGAATATGCTCATATCCCGGATTTTAAAAACCGGGATATCATACCTGGGGTACCCCTTTTCTAACCCGAATTTTTGGTCATGTAAACGCGCATCGGCATATCCCCATAGTGATGTGTGTTCTGCGCATGTTCTATTCGCAGGGAATCTTGGTCTTTTGAGTAGAGAAACTTCTCGGCGCATACAAAAACCTGCGTGCAGCATACCGGAAGTAAACATGGCGAGACGCAGCACAGCATACTTTTGGAGCGAGGTCAGTACCAGCACCAAAGGCGATCGCTATCTGCCCCGAACTATTCATTATCCGCGTGCTGCTGCTGTTGTTGTTGTCTTTGGATACAGGAAGAAGAATCGGAAATGACGCATATTGCGTCTTAAGGTTGTCCGTACGTCTTGACGCTAACCGTGCGTCGCCGTTTACATCGGGATATTGCAATTCCATGTATACAGGAGAAACTCTCTCTGCTCACGCATGTAAACGGGTTATTCCTAATGTTTCAGAAACCCGAATAGTGACCTTAACCCGACCATAACCCGAAAATTGGCTGCATGTAAACGTAGTCATTGTTTCTCCTCTGCTCTCCAGATCACACTGGCTGTCCTCAGATCAGTGTTTAAACACCCCGCAGTGGAGCAGTGGTTCCTGGCTCTGGAGCTGAGCTGTTTCCCTCCTCACAGTCTGAATCCAGTGAGACTGAAGCGTCTGTGTGCGTGTCTGAGCGAGAGCACGCTCACCCTGCTGGAGTCCAGCGCCGGCGCGCTCAGAGACCTGGACGCCCTAGAGGTCGCGAGCTCATACCTGACCGCCGTGCAGAGAGCCGTGCTCACAGAACTACACCGCAGGGGAAGCAAGTATGTCAAAACATGCGCTTTCTGCTAGGTTAAATACTATTTAAAAGAATGGGTATCTGTTTACATTCTATTTTACAGTACAATTAATACTACTTTGATATTAAAGGGATAGTTCACCCATCAATTACACACCTTCATCTTGTTCCAAACCCATAAGCGTTCATCAAATGTTTGTTTTGTGTCACGCAAACACGTTTCATTGAGTGAAATAAAAGCGAGCGCTGAATGTTCAAAGTCAAAACGTTAAGCGGTTGCTCATGATCTATTGTTTGCTCTATTTTCAATTAAAAGTCCTGCATTATGCTTAAAATACACCCAGTAAATAAGGTTTTACAAGTATCAGCACAGTAATATGTGTGTTGCCTATTGCCTTTCTTTATGAGCAAAATCCAATATAGATCAACCTCTAATTCGTATGTATTGATAAATTAGTACATAAACCAATTTGAATACACACACAGTATATATTGAATAAAACTTGTATTGAGTATTTAAACTAGCAGTTACTCTGTTTTGAAGTAAACCTGTTTAATAAAGGAAAAGAATCTGAGATGCATGATTTATTTAGAAATGATGTGGGTTTGTTCTGTATGGACATACGGTGTTAATTGTATTTGTGCAGGTCTTAAATCTAAAACACTGCAGAGGCTCTGCTTTATGAACATTTTGAAGTGTCAAAGTTTTAGTTGTGTGGACTTTTGAGGGAGATCTTGTTTCGAAGATGAACGAGAGTCTTATGGGTTTGAATTGCCAGTGATTTTTTTAGATTTGTTTAATTTAAAGTAATCCCTTTAAGTTTGACTTTTTGTTTTGAATCACAGATTTTCACAATAGAATAATAGCATACCTCTTACTATATATTGCATAGTTAATTAAAAAAATAGTATGTAATACAGTACACATTGTGCAACAATAGACCTCACTACAATTCAGTGGCGCCCAGTTATCATCTCATTTGCATTTGTATTCAAATTTACAAAAAATGGTGCATAATAGTCTATCAAATGAAGAGGCGTTAAAAATCATGGTTGCTGTACTTCTAATTCATTCATGACACTAGAAAGGAAGTGTCGAGTTGAGTGTGTTGCATTATGGGATGTGATATTCAGCGTGCTGTAGTTGTGTAATGGCCATTTTGGCATTCGTAGTGGGTTTTCTGGGTATTCCATGTATACACAAGTCAAAAATAGTATGAGCGAAATGCAGTGTAGTTTTTTTGTTTGGTGCATCACTGAAAAATCCCTTTTGGTCTTCAGAAGTTGTCCCAGAAAGCAGTCCCTCTGTGTCCGAGCGCTGCTGTCTCTGCACGACTTCATGGAGGCGTCCAGCCTGACGGAGGTGGTGTCCGCTCTGCTGCTGCTCCCTCAGAAGAGCCTGGTGGCCCCTGAGAGCCGGCTGAGCGTGTACGGGCACGCCGTGCTGAAGCTGCTCTCTGAAGACCACAGCAGATGTGTGTCTCTGTCCCAGGCTCACCTCAGAGGTCTGGCTGCTCTCCTCACGCCCTGCCAGTGTGTGCCGCTCGAGGACTTCCTGCTACAGGTACACACCACGGGGAAACTTCACACTCAAGGGGCCGATGTAATCACTGCGAAGTTCTTCACCTAGGGGTAAAAATGTTCATTTTTTGGGTGAACTATCCCTTTAAGCAAAGAAGATTTTCACGTCAAAAGCCCTATTCGGACGGGACTAGTTTAACATGGAGAGGCGGGGTAAAGTAATTATCACCAGAGCTTCTCTGTGATTTTAGTCCCGTCCGAATGTGCATCTCAGTGATCATTACGGACAATGTCAGTAAAGATTACAGCGACTTTTACCTTCAGTAAAAAGGTCCGGAAAAATGACCTAATCCCGTGCGAATAAACCCGCTGTAAATATTCCATAATTTCCTAATTAAAAGTAGTTTTCCGCAGTTTTTCAAGTATGAAGACGCTTGATAAAGCATTTAGTTGAGTTCTAGATGCTGGGACAAGTCTGTGGCAAAACTCAAGTGTTTTCCACACCATTCAGATCAGAAAGAAGATCGAAAGCACTTGTTAGAGGCACGAAACTTCTTTTAGCGTTAGGTAAGTGCCTATTACCAACACAATCCAATCTGAAGTTAATTAATACATCGTTCGACTAGACAATAACTGTTTTATATATATAAATATAGGTTATATGTGTTTGCACACGTGATTGAGTTACCCCTCCCACTTCTGCTAGTTTCACTGAGATATCTTATCCCGTGCGAATTGGCCAATGATATTACAGACGCCCTGTGGTAAAATTACATTACTCCATCTACCCTTGTTAAACTAATCCTGTCCGAATAGGGCTAAAGAAGTAAGAGCCACACGTACTTATTACGTAATTGGTAGTTTGAAAGTGTTTACCAGCTTGGCAAGCCATTTCAAACCTTATTTTGCCTTATTTTGTTCAAAACCAGTTCGTTCCACGATTTTTGCTTTAAGTATATCGAGGGCCTTCAGAGTAGTGATAATGCGCCTGCAGATGCCATTGTCTTTTTGCACACTCTCTGTAAAAAACGTCTCTCTCTAGGTGCTGTCCCGGGAGCCAGGCACGGCCAAACTCATTCAGACGGAGGTTCTCCTGCACTGCATCCAGAGAGAGAGTCCTTCAGCCCAGGCCATTGGGGCCGTCCTCCTGCAGAACTGCTCCACACACGTGCTCAGCTTCGAGCTCTGGTGCCTGGAGCCGTCTAACCTAGCGCAGATCAGCTCCCGAAGCAGCGGCTTCTTGTTCCTACTCGACGCCTACTTGAGGAGAGCCATTAGTGATGACCCCACCCGCCCTAAAGACAGTCAGTGTTGCTGCTTTCTTTGCAGAGGCTCAAATAATGTTGTTCGTGTTGAATTTGACACGCACATACAGTAGGTTTCATGTCGTCTTGTCTATCGCTACATACAGTTCATAAATCAGTCCTGAAGGCCCTGAAGAAAGCTTTGCTGTCTGAGCTGTGGCACGCGGTGCAGCGAGGGGAAGTTACGAGCGACCTGCATGTGGACGTCCTGTCCGGTCTCATCCGACTGGCTGCTGGGAACGCCGACCTCACTCAACTCATCAGAGATCTTCCTGCCGTCCTTCAGAAACCAGACAGTCATCAAAGGTAAACTCATGGCAACACTTTACAACAAGGTTCATTAGTTAACATCAACTAAAGGCCTGTTCACACCGGGACGAATTTCGCGCGTGATATTCGCCGACGTTTAGCGCCTTGTGACTAAACAGGGTGCCAATGTGAGTGTGCACACCGAACACAAAAAAACGGGTTGAAAAACGCTGGCGAATAACGCGCGCCGATATTCGTCCCGGTGTGGACGGCCCTTAAGAATGAACAATGCTTTTTTGGCATTTATTAATCTTAATTTCAACATTTACTAATACATTGTTTAAATCAAAGGTTGTATTTGTTAACATTAGTTAATGCACTGTGAACTAACATGAACAAACAATGAACAGCTGGATTTATATTAACTAACATTAACAAAGATTAATAAATACTGTAACACATACAGTGTATTGCTTATTGTTTGTTTATGTTAGTTAATACATTAACTAGGGCTGTCAGTTAAACGCGTTATTAACGGCGTTAACGCAAACCCATTTTAACGGCGTACATTTTTTTTATCGCGCGATTAACAGTCTTTTTGGCCTAGAAAACTTTGTAGTTTTTTTCACATGCTTTTGCAACAGGACGCGGCATGCGCGGCGCTACGCTATGAAACCCATTCATTTCAATGGCTTGCGCCGCGCGAGGACGTTTTGAAAGCGCAAGCGGATCTAGCTAGACCGTAAACAAAACAACAGGCACGCCGCACACACTTGTTTGGGTCTGCGAGCCGGCCACGTTTTGAGTGGATGACGAGCGAGAGACGCCGAAATGGATGCCAATAAGATTCTGAATGGAAAGTTTACTTTTAAAAAGTTGCCAAATGGTCCCATTGACGAGACCAAAGTGATCTGTGTGTTTTGTCGTTGTGAACTGAGCTATCATCATCGCAGCACGTCCAGTCTGAAACACCACTTGATGATGGCCAAGCACACACACACACACACACACACACACAGCTGATGCGAATTCTCCGCCCCCTCGTCAATATCAGGACCTCGTCAGTATTTCTTTCACCGTTTTATTGATGGACAGTGTTACACTGTGTGAGAGATTATTTGCTCCAAGTGAGAATGTTAGTGTGAAATTGAACACAATATATGCCAATGTTGTTTTCAATAAAAAAACATTTGCACAAAGCAAGCCGATCCACTTTTCCATGTTGATAAGAGCATTAAAATGAGAAAAAATAATGGGACAAAAAGAAATCAAGAGACATTTAGAATAGATAAAAATGTGCGATTAATTGCGATTAAATATTTTAATCGTTTGACAGCACTAACATTAACTAATGTTAACTAATGAACCATATTGTAAAGTGTTACCAAACTCACCACTCTTTTTGTCAAACTAAACCATATGTATAAAATACATATATAAAGCAAATAATAATTTTAAAAAAGTATAACAATTATCGAAATATCAAATCTGAGGTTGTTACTAAACATTTATAATTTTATACTAAAGAATTAAACATTTTTGGTCAAAGGGTTCATCTGACAAAAAAGTTGCACTAATGAAACAATACCTAATTGTAAACAGCTAGATTTAAGTATTTACCATTTTTAGATGATTAAAAAATGCATTCATTAAAAAAGAGACCCGTGGAAATGATTCAAACTTCCAGGAAGTTTAATAAGTTTAAATATTTGACATCCTACTTTAATAGTTGTGGTCTTGACCTGAAGCTTGATATGCTGGCACATCTGGTTTCAGGTGGAAGCTGGCAGACTGCGTCAGTGAGAAGCTGTCTGATAGTGCAGAGGAGCTGTGTCAGTGGAGGACGTGTCTGCTTTCGGCCGCTCTCCGCTGGCTGGCTGCTGCATATAAAGAGCAGAAAGACCCTCAGTCCCTTCATGAAGAGACCGTGCTGACAAGACTCGAGTCACTCCTGGTGGGTCCAGTATCATCACTGTCTTCTTAAGCCTTGTTTATACTCGACGCGTCCGCAAGAGCGCGAAGGTGCGCGCGGCAAAAATGACGTCATTGCGGTGTGGGCGGTCGTGCGCGTTGGGTGCGCAAGACCCCATTTCGCCTGCCGGTGTGCACGGCACTTTTTGTAACATCGCGCGCGGCGCCGTATCCGAAGATGAACGACTTCGAGCCGAATTTGGCCGAACTGGTGCGTCTGTATCAGCATGTTTATGATCCTTCTATACACAGAGACATTTGCATTGATGGGCGACCATAAAAGCCTCTCATTTTGTGAATAGGAACACATTTGCATTAAGCACCCAGTTTGCACTTGTCTAAAGTAACTGCTTACATTTACAAAATAAGCCTACAATAGCAGAAGTAAGCCCTGCTGATGAAATTAACACTCTTCAATAAGGCTTCAGTTGTTTAGTTTACATGCAGTGAAAGTACAATAAACCTACTACATTTAATACTCTTTTTATATGAATCAGCAATTAATAAACTACTAATAAACGGCAAACTACTTCTTCACTGCTGATTCCTGGTGGTTTAGAAGAGAATTACTACGAGTCGCCCCCTGTCGTTTCACAGAATAGCACAACGGCGAGCGCGTCAAGTATAAACGCCTCGTCCGTTTGGAGAGGTCCGCGCGCAGTCAGCGGAGACTCGCGCTCTTGCGGACGCGTCGAGTATAAACAAGGCTTTACCGTTCTAGGTGGATGAACAGCTGGTTAAGGTTATCATCATAATTCCTGTGGGTGGGGTTAGCTCCATGTAAACAGTACTTTAATGATAGTTATTTCACATTTTTTTCTTTTAATATTATTCAAAAGTTAATGAGGTTTCCAGATTTAGATGTTTAAAGTTGAAAAGTGATTCAAACTAGCCTCATGATAACGTGTTTTTGTTTTACTATTGAAACTTGCATATTTTATTTTATTTTATTCACATATATTAAATATTTGTTGTAAACTGTGCTAATAACAACATTTGTGCCACACAAGCATAATGTAGTTATATACATTTGTACAATATTTTGTACACTTACACATTTTTGTTATGTAAATAGCTCAACATTCAGCTGATGTTTACTGCATGTTTGGTTTATTGCAGATCGTTCCAGAAAATATCACTGCATCAGACTGGAACACCTTTGTCAAGTCTGGGCTGAAGTAAGTGTCTTTTCTCTTAAAGTCCTCATTTGATCCCTTAAAACTCATCTTGGATCACTAAAATTACATAAAAAAAATTCCCTTCAAAAAAAAATCTTCATGCCTTAAAATAGCTTGAATGTATAATAGCTTTAACACCCTTGCCTCATGTATTATACGCGGTTCTATGTATATGCAAATGAGCCCCGCCTCCACTCACTCACACCAGTTCAGAGATCCACTGGTTGACGGTCACACGTTGATCTGATTGGTTACAAGGTAGTTTGTGACGTCAGAAACACCAGTGATTTCAAACCGTGTTTTCGAGACTGTCTTTGGTTCACTGCAGTTTTAAGCAGAAAATACTCAGCAATGCTGTCGACTTATGAATTTACACATGGTTTGTCTTAAAGCATATTAAAAACACCACATAGACATATAAACAACATTAAAAACTGGATTTTCACCACAGGGGGACTTTAGGGGCTTTCGCACTGTATAAACCTTTTCATAGTTCCTAGAACTAATGGCGGAAATACCCGGATTTTGGCTTATTCGCACCGCAGGAACTGGGAACGATTTAGTTCTAGGAACTCCTTTTGGAGAAACTAATTGAGCTTCTACTTCAGAGTCGGTCTAAACCAGCACTATAGGAACTACCAGTGACGTCTGAGGCCGTTTCGTCCGATGCCTTTTTGTCTGAGGCTGTTTCGTCTGATGCCTTTTTGTCCGATGCCTTTATGTCCGATGCCTTTTTGTCTGAGGCTGTTTCGTCTGATGCCTTTTTGTCTGAGGCTGTTTCATCTGATGCCTTTTTGTCTGAGGCTGTTTCGTCTGATGCCTTTTTGTCTGAGGTCGTTTCGTCCGATGCCTTAATGTCCGATGCCTTTTTGTCTGATGCTGTTTTGTCCGATGCATTTTAGTCTGATGCCTTTTTGTCTGAGGCCGTTTCGTCCGATGCCTTTTTGTCTGAGGCTGTTTTGTCTGATGCTGTTTCGTCCGATGCATTTTTGTCTGAGGCTGTTTGTCTGAGGCTGTTTGTCTGAGGCTGTTTCGTCCGATGCCTTTTTGTCTGAGGCTGTTTGTCTGAGGCTGTTTGTCTGATGCTGTTTCGTCCGATGCCTTTTTGTCTGAGGCTGTTTGTCTGAGGCTGTTTGTCTGAGGCTGTTTGTCTGATGCTGTTTCGTCCGATGCCTTTTAGTCTGATGCCTTTTTGTCTGAGGCTGTTTCGTCCGATGCCTTTTAGTCTGATGCCTTTTTGTCTGAGGCTGTTTCGTCCGATGCCTTTTTGTCTGAGGCTGTTTGTCTGATGCTGTTTCGTCCGATGCCTTTTAGTCTGATGCCTTTTTGTCTGAGGCCGTTTCGTCCGATGCCTTTTTGTCTGAGGCTGTTTTGTCTGATGCTGTTTCGTCCGATGCCTTTTTGTCTGAGGCTGTTTGTCTGAGGCCGTTTGTCTAAGGCTGTTTCGTCCGATGCCTTTTTGTCTGAGGCTGTTTGTCCGATGCCTTTTTGTCTGAGGCTGTTTGTCTGAGGCTGTTTGTCTGAGGCTGTTTCGTCCGATGCCTTTTTGTCTGAGGCTGTTTTGTCTGATGCTGTTTCGTCCGATGCCTTTTAGTCTGATGCCTTTTTGTCTGAGGCTGTTTCGTCCGATGCCTTTTTGTCTGAGGCTGTTTGTCTGATGCTGTTTCGTTCGATGCCTTTTAGTCTGATGCCTTTTTGTCTGAGGCCGTTTCGTCCGATGCCTTTTTGTCTGAGGCTGTTTTGTCTGATGTCGTTTCATCCGATGCCTTTTCGTCTGATGCCTTTTTGTCTGAGGCTGTTTCGTCTGATGCCTTTTTGTCTGAGGTCGTTTCGTCCGATGCCTTTATGTCCGATGCCTTTTTGTCTGAGGCTGTTTTGTCTGATGCTGTTTCGTCCGATGCATTTTAGTCTGATTCCTTTTTGTCTGAGGCCGTTTCATCCGATGTCTTTTTGTCTGAGGCTGTTTGTCTGATGCTGTTTCGTCCGATGCCTTTTAGTCTGATGCCTTTTTGTCTGAGGTTGTTTTGTCTGATGTCGTTTCGTCCGATGCCTTTTTGTCTGAGGCTGTTTTGTCCGATGCCTTTTTGTCTGAGGCTGTTTTGTCTGATGTCGTTTCGTCCGATGCCTTTTTGTCTGAGGCTGTTTGTCTGATGCTGTTTCGTCCGATGCCTTTTAGTCTGATGCCTTTTTGTCTGAGGCTGTTTCGTCCGATGCCTTTTAGTCTAGGCTTGCCGCGATAGACGGTGTTGACGGTGTTACCGGTTTTAAGCCCCATCACCGGTGACATCACTTTCCCACCGTGACACCGCGATGTCTTGACTTTTTTAAAGTATTCGTTTTTGCTAAAATATTTATTTGAATTAATTAAAAATAATAATTATCAATGATTTAGTTCAGAAGAGAGCATACATTATAATTAAAAACTGAACTGCGCAGTGCGCAGCGTGCCAAGAGCCAGTCACGTCACAGATCAGCAAGCATCAGGATTCCATTTAGCACGTGTGGAGATGAGAACGAGTCAAATTACAGAAAAGCAAGATAATGGCGGAATGTGTAATTTATTTAGGCTTGTTTTATTTTCTTATTCGTTAATAAACGTTTTATGGTTCTTATTTGTTTGGGCCCACAGTTTGACGATTTTCAGCCTATGCATGGGGTTATTTTTTTATTCGTTTGTTATGCTAATAAAAGTTCTGTCTATAAATAAAAGTTTTATTATCAGCGAGCCGAGTTGTTGTTTTTTTGTCCATTCAAGCAATTGACGCTGAATTGCCAATTGACGCTTATTTCGAAAGTGAAAGTATAACGCGCACGCATTTAAAAGCTATTTAACCCCCCCGCCCCGCCCCCAACGGTGACACCGGGATTACCGGTGTTGTGACACGTCGATTAACCGGTGGGAAATTTTCCTCACCGCGGCAACCCTATTTTAGTCTGATGCCTTTTTGTCTGAGGCTGTTTCGTCTGATGCCTAATTGTATGAGACCTGACACCTGACATTGTTTTTCCTGAGACCTGAAGCTTTTCAGTCTGAGGCGCGATGCCGTTTTGTCCAATGACTGAAGCCTTTTAGACTGAGGCATGATGCCTTGTTTTCATATGTCTGAGGATGTCCTAAAATGTACACCGTAGACGTGGCACTAAATAAAACAATCTGAATCTGAATCTTAGAACTACCCGGTGTGAAAGGCCCTTTTAATGAACAAAAGCTAACAGGACACAAATTGTTTACTAGCTTACTCTGATGACACTATCAGTGTGCGTTTTGGCTAACTAAAACTGCTCTTAAAATTCCACTCTCAGGTATCGATACAGTGACTCAAGCTTTCTGGGGACCTTAAACACCCTTGTGGAGATCATATATGGAAGACCAGAGACCCCTAAAGAGCTGCTGCCCATGTCTACCATCCACATGATGACCACCAGTCACTCTCTGTTCCTGCCCACGATGCTGGCCACACAGAACGAGTCCCACAGTCCTCATCCGTCTAAAGGTAATGAAGCAGAGACCAACCATATCAGCAGCTCAATGTCCTCCTCCTGTGGCGCATGAAGCTTATCTTTTGATTGGCATCTAAACATAAATATTTGGATATTTTTTTGTCATTTTTAAATGAATGATGATCAGTTTAAAGTCAAAGTCAAGATGATGTTTGAAGTGCTTCTACTTCTAGATGAAAAATATTTTCAGAATTATTGCATTCCTGTTGGGGTTGCATGTGCATCCTCGCTCATTCATTGAAGTCTGTGAAGTTTAACGGAGACTTGCTTGCTAAAATGAAATGACACACTTCTGACAGGAGGGCAGTCTGCTTTAAAAAGTAGGCTTATGAGTTAGATTGAAGCGCTTAATATAAAGCATGTCTAATGTTTAGGACAACTTGGATTGTCCACTTTTCCCACAACAGCTCAATATTTTCAGATGTTTTTGCAGCTTAAATCAATATACACACAGTACTGTCCCATCTTAGCTGGAAACCTCTGCGTTCCACACACAGATGTCCTTCACTTTCAGTGGTTGAAACAATGCTTTCGTTTGTTACACATGCATGCCGGACCGAAAGACCCATAGGCTACCTATAGTTGTCAGTGCAAATATGTGTACCATTACACTCCTAATGTTCCTCCTAAAAAATGTATCAAGTTTTTTTTTCTTTTCTTTTTTTCGTCTTGCTAAGGGTTCTGCCTCTATCACTATTCCTTAGATTTAGGATTATGGATTCAAACAACCTCTTCTGGATGATTGTTGTTTAAAATAATAATAATATTAATGTTTTCCAGAATCATTGGTATCTTTCTTGCTTACGCTGGTGAAAAAATGTCCTGAAGTGTGTAACAGCAACCACTTCCTCGTGCTGCTTGGTGCGTATGGAGCTTCGCTGAGCACCACAGGTAAATTACCCACTTGACATGATTCATTTGATTTGAACTTTGTATGAAGTCAGTTATGTGATTTAGTGAAATGTTTTTTGGTTATCGCAGACCAGAAGCTTCTACTTGTGCTCCAGGAGTATGAGAAGAACAACATCAGTCTCACGGAGTTTCAGTACGTTTCAGCATATTTCACATCACACGTTTGAAGATGATTTCCACAAACAGAAAACGGTGGTTTACTGCATGTGTTTGTGGTCAGGTATGTGCTCTGGGGTCCCGCCGCGGTGGAGCACCATAAAGCCCGTAAGAGCCTGGGACCTTCCCTGTGGCAGAAGCCCAGTTCAGAGCAGCTGCTGTCACTGCTTAGCGCAGACATGATGTTAAACACCGTGACACACTTCCCACAGCAGCGACGCATCATCCTTCAGGTAACAACAGGCGAGAGTAAATGACATACAGTATTTTAAGGTATTATAATATATCTGTCCCAAAGGGTTAGTTCACCCAAAAATGAAAATTATGTCTTTAATTACTCACCCTCATGTCGTTCCAAACACGTACGACTTGCGTTCATCTTTACAACACAAATGAAGATATTTTTAATGAAATCGAAAAGATTTCTGTCTCTCCATTGAAAGTCTATTCCAGCCAAACTTTGGTGCTAGTACTGGGTTGGACCCCCTTTTGCCTTCAGAAGTGCCTTAATTCTTCATGGCAGAGATTCAACAAGGTGCTGGTCTATATTGACATGATATCATCACGTAGTTGCTGCAGATTTGTCGTCTGCACATCCATGATGTGAATCTGCTGTTCCAGCACATCCCAAAGATGCTCTACTGGATTGAGATCTGGCGAGTGTGGAGGCCGTTCGAGTTTAGTGAACTCACTGTCATGTTCAATAAAAATGGTTTGAGATGATCTGATCTGATCTTTGTGACATGGCCTGTTATCCTGCTGGAAGAGGCCATCAGAAGATGATACACTGGTCATAAATGGACAGCAACAATTCTCGGGTAGACTGTGGTATTTAACCGATGCTCAATTGGTACTGAGGGGCACAAAGTGTGCCAATAAAATACCATTACACCAGCACCAGCCTGAACCGCTGATACAACGCAGGACAGATCCATGCTTTCATGTTGTTTATGCCAAATTCTGACCCGACCGTCCGAATGTTGCAGCAGAAATCCCGACTCATCAGACCAGGCAATGTTTTTCAAATCTTCTATTGTCCAGTTTTGGTGAACTGTAGCCTCAGTTTGTTGTTCTCAGCTGAGAGAGTGTCACCGGTGTGTTTCTTCTGCTTCTGTAGCTCTTCTGCTTCAAGGTTTGATGTGTTGAGTGTTCAGAGATGCTCTTCTGCTTCAAGGTTTGATGTGTTGTGTGTTCAGAGATGCTCTTCTGCTTCAAGGTTTGATGTGTTGTGTGTTCAGAGATGCTCTTCTGCTTCAAGGTTTGATGTGTTGAGTGTTTAGAGATGCTCTTCTGCTTCAAGGTTTGATTTGTTGTGTGTTCAGAGATGCTCTTCTGCTTCAAGGTTTGATGTGTTGAGTGTTCAGAGATGCTCTTCTGCTTCAAGGTTTGATGTGTTGAGTGTTTAGAGATGCTCTTCTGCTTCAAGGTTTGATGTGTTGAGTGTTTAGAGATGCTCTTCTGCTTCAAGGTTTGATTTGTTGTGTGTTCAGAGATGCTCTTCTGCTTCAAGGTTTGATTTGTTGTGTGTTCAGAGATGCTCTTCTGCTTCAAGGTTTGACGTGTTGAGTGTTCAGAGATGCTCTTCTGCTTCAAGGTTTGATGTGTTGAGTGTTCAGAGATGCTCTTCTGCTTCAAGGTTTGATGTGTTGAGTGTTCGGAGATGCTCTTCTGCTTCAAGGTTTGATGTGTTGAGTGTTCGGAGATGCTCTTCTGCTTCACGGTTTGATGTGTTGAGTGTTCAGAGATGCTCTTCTGCTTCAAGGTTTGATGTGTTGAGTGTTCAGAGATGCTCTTCTGCTTCAAGGTTTGATGTGTTGAGTGTTTAGAGATGCTCTTCTGCTTCAAGGTTTGATGTGTTGAGTGTTCAGAGATGCTCTTCTGCTTCAAGGTTTGATGTGTTGAGTGTTTAGAGATGCTCTTCTGCTTCAAGGTTTGATTTGTTGTGTGTTCAGAGATGCTCTTCTGCTTCAAGGTTTGATTTGTTGTGTGTTCAGAGATGCTCTTCTGCTTCAAGGTTTGATGTGTTGAGTGTTCAGAGATGCTCTTCTGCTTCAAGGTTTGATGTGTTGAGTGTTCAGAGATGCTCTTCTGCTTCAAGGTTTGATGTGTTGAGTGTTCGGAGATGCTCTTCTGCTTCACGGTTTGATGTGTTGAGTGTTCAGAGATGCTCTTCTGCTTCAAGGTTTGATGTGTTGAGTGTTCAGAGATGCTCTTCTGCTTCAAGGTTTGATGTGTTGAGTGTTCAGAGATGCTCTTCTGCTTCAAGGTTTGATGTGTTGTGTGTTCAGAGATGCTCTTCTGCTTCAAGGTTTGATGTGTTGAGTGTTCAGAGATGCTCTTCTGCTTCACGGTTTGATGTGTTGAGTGTTGTTCAGAGAGATGCTCTTCTGCTTCACGGTTTGATGTGTTGAGTGTTCAGAGATGCTCTTCTGCTTCAAGGTTTGATGTGTTGAGTGTTCAGAGATGCTCTTCTGCTTCAAGGTTTGATGTGTTGTGTGTTCAGAGACGCTCTTCTGCTTCAAGGTTTGATGTGTTGAGTGTTCAGAGATGCTCTTCCGCTTCAAGGTTTGATGTGTTGAGTGTTCAGAGATGCTCTTCTGCTTCAAGGTTTGATGTGTTGTGTGTTCAGAGATGCTCTTCTGCTTCAAGGTTTGATGTGTTGAGTGTTCAGAGATGCTCTTCTGCTTCAAGGTTTGATGTGTTGTGTGTTCAGAGATGCTCTTCTGCTTCAAGGTTTGATGTGTTGAGTGTTCAGAGATGCTCTTCTGCTTCAAGGTTTGATGTGTTGAGTGTTCAGAGATGCTCTTCTGCTTCAAGGTTTGGTGTGTTGAGTGTTCGGAGATGCTCTTCTGCTTCAAGGTTTGATGTGTTGAGTGTTCAGAGATGCTCTTCTGCTTCAAGGTTTGATGTGTTGAGTGTTCAGAGATGCTCTTCTGCTTCACGGTTTGATGTGTTGAGTGTTCAGAGATGCTCTTCTGCTTCAAGGTTTGATGTGTTGAGTGTTCAGAGATGCTCTTCTGCTTCAAGGTTTGATGTGTTGAGTGTTCAGAGATGCTCTTCTGCTTCAAGGTTTGATGTGTTGAGTGTTCAGAGATGCTCTTCTGCTTCAAGGTTTGATGTGTTGAGTGTTCAGAGATGCTCTTCTGCTTCAAGGTTTGATGTGTTGAGTGTTCAGAGATGCTCTTCTGCTTCAAGGTTTGATGTGTTGAGTGTTCAGAGATGCTCTTCTGCTTCAAGGTTTGATGTGTTGAGTGTTCAGAGATGCTCTTCTGCTTCAAGGTTTGATGTGTTGAGTGTTCAGAGATGCTCTTCTGCTTCAAGGTTTGATGTGTTGTGTGTTCAGAGATGCTCTTCTGCTTCAAGGTTTGATGTGTTGAGTGTTTAGAGATGCTCTTCTGCTTCAAGGTTTGATTTGTTGTGTGTTCAGAGATGCTCTTCTGCTTCAAGGTTTGATGTGTTGAGTGTTCAGAGATGCTCTTCTGCTTCAAGGTTTGATGTGTTGAGTGTTTAGAGATGCTCTTCTGCTTCAAGGTTTGATGTGTTGAGTGTTTAGAGATGCTCTTCTGCTTCAAGGTTTGATTTGTTGTGTGTTCAGAGATGCTCTTCTGCTTCAAGGTTTGATTTGTTGTGTGTTCAGAGATGCTCTTCTGCTTCAAGGTTTGACGTGTTGAGTGTTCAGAGATGCTCTTCTGCTTCAAGGTTTGATGTGTTGAGTGTTCAGAGATGCTCTTCTGCTTCAATGTTTGATGTGTTGAGTGTTCGGAGATGCTCTTCTGCTTCAAGGTTTGATGTGTTGAGTGTTCGGAGATGCTCTTCTGCTTCACGGTTTGATGTGTTGAGTGTTCAGAGATGCTCTTCTGCTTCAAGGTTTGATGTGTTGAGTGTTCAGAGATGCTCTTCTGCTTCAAGGTTTGATGTGTTGAGTGTTTAGAGATGCTCTTCTGCTTCAAGGTTTGATGTGTTGAGTGTTCAGAGATGCTCTTCTGCTTCAAGGTTTGATGTGTTGAGTGTTTAGAGATGCTCTTCTGCTTCAAGGTTTGATTTGTTGTGTGTTCAGAGATGCTCTTCTGCTTCAAGGTTTGATTTGTTGTGTGTTCAGAGATGCTCTTCTGCTTCAAGGTTTGATGTGTTGAGTGTTCAGAGATGCTCTTCTGCTTCAAGGTTTGATGTGTTGAGTGTTCAGAGATGCTCTTCTGCTTCAAGGTTTGATGTGTTGAGTGTTCGGAGATGCTCTTCTGCTTCACGGTTTGATGTGTTGAGTGTTCAGAGATGCTCTTCTGCTTCAAGGTTTGATGTGTTGAGTGTTCAGAGATGCTCTTCTGCTTCAAGGTTTGATGTGTTGAGTGTTCAGAGATGCTCTTCTGCTTCAAGGTTTGATGTGTTGTGTGTTCAGAGATGCTCTTCTGCTTCAAGGTTTGATGTGTTGAGTGTTCAGAGATGCTCTTCTGCTTCACGGTTTGATGTGTTGAGTGTTGTTCAGAGAGATGCTCTTCTGCTTCACGGTTTGATGTGTTGAGTGTTCAGAGATGCTCTTCTGCTTCAAGGTTTGATGTGTTGAGTGTTCAGAGATGCTCTTCTGCTTCAAGGTTTGATGTGTTGTGTGTTCAGAGACGCTCTTCTGCTTCAAGGTTTGATGTGTTGAGTGTTCAGAGATGCTCTTCTGCTTCAAGGTTTGATGTGTTGAGTGTTCAGAGATGCTCTTCTGCTTCAAGGTTTGATGTGTTGTGTGTTCAGAGATGCTCTTCTGCTTCAAGGTTTGATGTGTTGAGTGTTCAGAGATGCTCTTCTGCTTCAAGGTTTGATGTGTTGAGTGTTCAGAGATGCTCTTCTGCTTCAAGGTTTGATGTGTTGAGTGTTCAGAGATGCTCTTCTGCTTCAAGGTTTGATGTGTTGAGTGTTCAGAGATGCTCTTCTGCTTCAAGGTTTGATGTGTTGAGTGTTCAGAGATGCTCTTCTGCTTCAAGGTTTGATGTGTTGAGTGTTCAGAGACGCTCTTCTGCTTCAAGGTTTGGTGTGTTGAGTGTTCAGAGATGCTCTTCTGCTTCAAGGTTTGATGTGTTGAGTGTTCAGAGATGCTCTTCTGCTTCAAGGTTTGATGTGTTGAGTGTTCAGAGATGCTCTTCTGCTTCAAGGTTTGATGTGTTGAGTGTTCAGAGACGCTCTTCTGCTTCAAGGTTTGATGTGTTGAGTGTTCAGAGATGCTCTTCTGCTTCAAGGTTTGATGTGTTGAGTGTTCAGAGATGCTCTTCTGCTTCAAGGTTTGATGTGTTGAGTGTTCAGAGACGCTCTTCTGCTTCAAGGTTTGGTGTGTTGAGTGTTCAGAGATGCTCTTCTGCTTCAAGGTTTGATGTGTTGTGTGTTCAGAGATGGCACCAAGGCATTTTTTCCCACAGAAGTGCTGCTAAATTAATATTTTCACTTAGAGATGGTTAAGCCTGAAAATCCCAGTGGATAAGCAGTTTCTGAAATACTCAGACCAGCCCGTCTGCCACCAACAACCATGCCACATTCAAACTCACTTCTTTTGAATTCAAAATCACCTTTCTTCCCGATTCTGATGCTCAGTTTGAACTTCACCAGATCATCTTGATCATGTCTACATGCCTAAATGCATTGAGTTTCTGCCATGTGATTGGCTGATTAGATATTTGTGTTAAGTTGAACAAGGAAGACCTCGGTGAGTGCAATGTCAACCGAGTAGTAAGCTAGTAAACCGTTTTAGTCCTGTTTGCTTTTGTTTATATGTAAAATAGAAGCCTAAATGAGGTCTGTTCATCATATAAAGTGATTTTTTTTTCTCTTCAGAAGACTTCAATTAAACCGCTTGTTTCATATGGAATTATTTTACAATCTCCTTATGAACAATGTGAAGCCTCAGAGTTTTGGGTGAACTAACCTTTACAACAAATTCTAAATTGAATTATTCCTGTTTACTTTATAGAAGTAGGAAAATAAATGAATTGTACCATTTTAAAGGCTGAGCTATGCATGAACATCACATAACTCTTTCTACAGGGCAGCAGAAACTCGGTGTACACGCAGGAAGGCAAGAGTCCTCTCGATCTGTCATCTCTGTACGACCCCTGTTTCCTCCTCCCTCTCTTCAGCTTCATCCTTCGCCCAGGTAACCTCACATGACATGCCCACAATGCTGGTTTCTGGCTCTGTGTATTTACTAGTATTTAGGTACTTTGTCTAGCACTTGTATACAATGTATTGGGACCATATTGCCGGCTGTTATTAGTGATTTTTATTTTTTTATTTTTTATTTATTGTATCAGTCGAGCATTTATTTAATCAAGCTCCAAAAGTCGCTCGTTTTCATATTACGGGATCTGTGACGTCACAGGCAAATGCATTTGCATACGACTGCCTCCTGAGCAAGACATCAACGAATAGTTATACATCATTGAACCATAAGCCCCGCCCAGTGGCGCTTAGTCGCTTAACGGCTGACATTTGCTTTCCCTGGATGTGAGCATCACGTCTAAAGCAAACAGAAGCCATTATAATCAGTGACGCTGTCTACACTGGATACAGTTTACAGATTTGTGTTGTTCAGATTCTGATGTATCCACACACACTTGAGCCTGTCGACAACAACAAGTCAAATGAAGTCAAGTCAAGTCATCTTCATTTATATAGCGCTTTAAACAATGGAGATTGTTTCAAAGCAGCTTTACAGAGATAAACATACAATTTACGGTAACAGAGATTGTTTTGGCTTTACAGCGATTTTGAATAATGTTATTTCCGGCTAAAGTTGGTTTTGATTGATTCACTTCCAGCAAAATTATAATTTGTTATTACATTAGGGGCCACTAAGACGCCGGCGTTCTCTCTAAACAGACTTTAAACGCGAACCTGTGACCTGATGGCGTTCACATGCGCATTCAAAATTGATTCTATAGTTAAATTCGTTTGAATATGTGTGCGCAGGTTTGTAATTTCCCTACAAACCATGCCTAAACAAACTACTTGTCTTGCCTATGAAGAGTTAAAGGACGTTCACGTTGAAAGTTTAAACAGCTTATTTGTATCTTCAAAAGGATCCCACCGTCAGAAACAAGTGGATGGTTTATTTAATAGCGTCCCAGATCACGTCAGAGCATTATATGTTTGTTCGGAGCATTTTGTTTTGTAAACGAGGCACAGTGTAACGGAAAGTTTGCAAATAAACTTTTGTTGAAATATGAAGCAGTCAGCTGTATTTCATCTGGCTTTAGCAGCTGCATCACAGCACATAAGTAATGATTTCATAATGCTTTGTCTGTAAATTACGATTTTATATGGATAATGTTTTTAAAACACTAGCTCATGTTTAATAGTGAGTGGGCGTTGATGCTGTTTCCTATGAACCGACGTTAGCCAATTATAACAGTGTCTGTTTACTGACAAACCTTAAAGCAGCCGCCCTTCAAAAATACACATATATATTTAAATTTAAAGTGTACCTCAAGTAACATGTTAAAATAAAAAATCAATGTCATGACCCCTTTAAATCTGCCATAAGATCAACACAATATTCACATTCATTAATTATTAATTTTATATGGCCAACAAAATCATTGTGAACATTTTAGTCAGTATCTAGACATATGTCAAGTAATTTTTTTTTTTTTTTTATCTGAAAACATTTCATCAGATTGAAACATTTGCCTGCAAGCCTGCTTTTTCAAGGTCACACATTTTGTGGTGTATTTCCATTTGTTCACCCGTGCTGTGACCTGTCTCTCCCGCATCAGAGTGTGCGGTGGACTGCCAGAAGTTCGTCTCCAGTCATGCTTTGGGTGTCGCAGTGGCGGCCCTGAGCAGCTGTGACCCTAAAGTGAGGGCCGCGGGGTACCAAGTCCTGGGATCCTTTTATCAGCACCTGGAGGGCGCTCGATTCAGAGAGAAGAGACAGGTAGAGATGTGTTACTGTTTACAAGTGTCAAATATCACTGTTTGTAAGATTTATTTGAAGATTGTTCCATTTCTGTACTTTTTTTTCCGTATTTTATGCAGTTTTATACTTTGCTTTCAGTGTTGTAATAATGGGAAATATTTATAAAATTTGACACTACATTTTTGTATATAATATACCCTTCAAACGTTTGAGTTCAGTAAGATTTGTGAGTACCGTAAACATTAAATAGATTAAAAGTTACAGTAAAAACATTTGTTACAAAAGATTTCTATTTCAAATTATTGCTGTTCTTTTAAACTTTTTCAAAGAATCCTGTAAAAAAAAAGTACAACATTGATAATAGTAAAAAAAAATCTTGAGCACTAAATCAGCATATTAGAGTAAAAAGGATCATGTGACACTGAAGACTGAAGTGTCTCTAATATCTGCTGAAAATACAGCATTCCCGTCATATAAATTATATTTTAAAATGCATTCAAATAGAAAATAGTTATTTTAAATTGTAAATAATATCACACTATTATTTACTGTATTTTATTGTATCAAATAAATGCTAAATCTTACTGACCCCAACTTTTAAATTTTTTATTATATTATTTATTTATTTTAATATTTATGTTTTTATATAATATCCAGCTTCTGTACTTGCTTGACACCGTTAAGAACGGGATCCAAAAGCGAAACCTCCAGGTACCGTTTGTACACGTGGCCTTCATTGCTAAAGTCGCTCAGCAAATCTTGAGACCTGGTGAGTGTGTTCATCACTTGACACGTTATCTCATAATAAGAGATCTGGAATCAGAGTGAAGTTTGCCAAAACCCTGAGTTCAACTTTTCCCCGCTGTAGAGGAACACATGTACATGGTGGTGAGCAGATTTCTTCTGGGAACTCAGTTTCTGGACCTCAAGAGAATTCCTGACTTCTTCAAACTCTTCTACAGCTTTGATCTGGAGGTAATGAAACATCAGAGATCATGTGACTGGACACTTATGGTTGCATAGCAAATAACTCATGGGTGACAAATACAGTACGCTTGGTAATATAGTATACATTCAAAAATGTTCAAGTAAACATGTCTTTAGCCAATGAATGTTGTAGTTGCTGAAGACTCGACTCTGATTTGTCTCTGTTTCTCTGTCCAGCACAAAATGGAGCGCGAGTGGGGTTTGAGTATTTTGGAGGAAGGGGTCCGGGATAAGCTGTGCTACGAGCTCTGTGAGAAGCAAGGCATCTATCAGACCCTGCTGGGCTTCGGCAGCACGCCGCTGTGTGACCAGGCCTCTCAGGTGCACAGCAACATCCGCTCTCTCTCTGTGTGTGTGTGTGTGTGTGTGTGTGTGTGTGTGTTCAGATGTGCTGCTAGTGAGAGAAGCAACAATGTAGGGCAGATTAAACTCTTAACGTGCTTCCATTGCCTTCAGATACAGTCCCTGTAAGTGTGAAATTACTGCTCGAAATAAGTTGCATCTGAGAATTAGTTGCAGAATACAATAAGCTCTAATATTGTTTAAAACAAATATATATAAAATATTTTTTCTTGATTAGTACAGAATCCATAAAAAAAAAAAAAAAAACTTTTTGTTGTTAATTTTTAAAGGAATGTTTTAATATCCTAAACTTAATTTTAGGGTTTAAATTAGTTAGTACGCAAGTAAGTAATTCGAAAGTAAATTGTAAATGTATTAACTGAAATTTGACGTCCTAAAAGATGTAAGCTTAGCTGGTCTAAATAGGTCAACAGAAGGGTTAACTCAACCAAACGCATCCTATATGAGATTAATCTGATATATACAGCAACATAAAAGTCATATTACGACTTGCATCTGCACAAAAGGACAAGAATGCGCACGTGAATACGACCGTGCTCGTCTGAATGTGCAACTCCCATTGTGGATGCGCTCTTCCCATAACAACAACGCTGAAACACGGGCAACTAAAGCACAAATAATTTACAATGTTCTTTTACAGTAGTGTTCTCATTCTAATGTTATGCATATGGCAGATTGGTGCTTGCTTTTAACTGTATTTTCATGATCTAAGTGATTCCAGTTATCACTGCACATCAAAACACATCAGAAACAGCCCCAAATCCTGGAATAACCAATCAGAAAAAAATGAACTTACTGTTTGTGGTGCAGCTGATGTCATATATAACATGAGGATGCGCAGCGCTAGGTATTAATAAGCTGACGTTTCACACTGCAACACGCGATACATTGACATAAAGGCTCTACCTTTATGTCAATGTATCGCGTGTTGCAGTGTGAAACGTCAGCTTATTAATACCTAGGATTTTTGAAGTGTGAAAAGCCCTATAAAGTACTATACAAGTTTTCTAATTGTCACATATAGTCATACCTGTTGTGTAATATGGCATGGGATCTCTGGAAAACTGTTGATTTGACAATTTTCTGCTATGCTGTTCCAGATTCAGATAATGAATGTTTTGCGGCAGACGGCTCATGGCAACAGAGCAGCGTATGTCCTCACCAAAGAGCATGGAGTCCTAACATGGATATTACAGATTATAGAAAAGAGGTATTAATTTAAGCATTGGCATGTGCTTTAAGTCTCAGCGCTTTGTTAAAAACTGATTAGATTTGTTTCTTGTAGGAATGTTGACAGTAAGCTGTTGAGTTCGGTCATCGAGTTGCTTCATGCTCTGTGGTTCACTAATCTGGGTAATAAAGAGGGTAAAGCAGAAGCACACAGCACTACACCAGAGCGGACACACACCTCAGGCAAATGTCTTCCTCTGCCGATCATCAACGAGTTCCTGTGCGCGCTGCTCACAGTCATCAGACATCTGGGGTAAGTGAACAATCCATATGACCTCTGTTTTATTTATTTCCATGAGGTCAGCTTACAATATTATAATAATGGTATAATATATAATGGTTTTCCTGTGCCAAAAAACAGTCATGGGTTCGTTTTTCGTGTACGTTTTCCACTTTCTCTCTACGCCTTATGACAGGAATTCACAAGCTTTTTTCTCGGCAGAACCCCTTAGATGTAATATATTTTATAATATAAGTTAATATTTGAATAATTTAAGGACACATTCACGTTTATAGCTCTCTGATGATGGTTAATTGTCACATAACATGCAAGTATACATCGCATTATGATACATTCATAAAACAGTTCAGGCTGAAATGTGGGAAAACATGCAGATTGAGGAACGACAGATTACAAGAAAACTAATGTATTTCCTTGCTTGGCTAGAAACATTTTGCATACTTGAGTATGTTATGAGTAGATTCTGTTAACCTTTTATGCCCCCTTTTTTAAAGTCTTTATTTTGTTTTTGGACATTTCATACTTGAATGTTCAAAAAACACATTATTTTCCCCATACTCTCCATTGTTGCAGCTCCTCTCCTTCCCAGTCTGTCAGTAACGCTCTGTTTAGTTCCTGTCTCTATGAAGCCCCTCCGTCTTAAAAGCACAATGTGCTCTGATTGGTCGGATGGACCAGTGTGTTGTGATTGGTCAAGCGCTTCGAGCATGTGTTTTGGAAATGTCATAAATGCCATAATCGCGAGTTTCAACGCACTATAACACAACTCAACCAGACCAGGGCACTTTTTTGCGTTGCCTTAGGCGGGAATTATTTAAATGAGGAATATTTTGACAGAAGAAAACTCGAGACTTTAAACGAGGCGTTTCCGTGAGTTCAGAAACAGTGCGCGCTGACATACAGTAAAGAATAACTCCCTTTGGAGTGCTTTGTATCTCTGCAGACCTTTTCCATGCTCAAACAGCAACATTACACACTAAAGAAAGTTGAACATGTAAAAAAGCAGAATAGCTGGGTTTCAGTCACGTGATTATGATGACGCGCGAAATTCAGATGGAGGGCAGGGAGTGAAGAGCGCAATGGACGAGATGGAGGAAAGTCCGTACTGTACTACTTTACACGCTATTACAAGAGAAAGATATAAACAAAAAATCAAACATATGTTGGGCGTGATCATTACGTTATGAAGAGGAGTGATTTTTCAACTGAATTGAAAGATTTTTCTGCCATCGAGGCGGTAGATATCAGCAACTACCTCGTCTTACAGACATACTTTGACTTTACAAAGTTCGGAAACGTTACACAAACATAGCCACTTAAGTTGTATTAACTCACGTTTGATGAAGTGATCATTGCACACACAGGCATTTTCCCATTCGGCTCCTCCCGACCGCAGACGTAGGTTTGCAAGACGTTTTTCCGGAGTTTTTCGGTCAATTTCTTGCATTTCCCCCCTTATGAACAACAACTTTTGGTACACGATAAAAACTCCTCGTGGTTTCATCGATTTAAGTAACCATAAACGACGCAGAACATAGTCATTTTGAGTTTGTGTAGAGCTTTCTAAATACAGCCAATCACTTCCTGGCCTCCATTTGCATTTCGCGCCATGGCAACGCAGTGGCGTGACGTCATATGAAAACAAGCTATAGGACCACACACAATCACCACTTTTTTCATCAAAAGCAAGAATATAGTTTTAATGAACTACTTGCTCTTTCTCTGTTCCTGTTCAGGAGTGGTGTGAGCGCGCTTCAGCTGAAGGCAGTCCTGCACACACTCGACTCTGTACTGATGCATCATGGGACAGCTCTGAACGCTCATACAGAGGCAGGCTGGCTGACGCTACACCCACAGAAAGTGTCGTGCTCTGAAGTGCTCAGTCTCCTGCAGCGCTGGGCAACACTGGCCCGGGACGCCTCACTGCTGTCCGCTCTTCAGACCCTCATCAACAAACACAGAGTCAAAGAGCTGATGGGTAAGAGTCCAAACACATTACAGGTTCAGTACGAGTTAAAGGGTTCGTCCAATTCTGTCACTGTCGTTTGAAAGCTCTATAAGTTTTTGAAAAAATGTCTAAGGGCCAAATTTACTAACAGCTTGCATCAGCTCAAAATGTATGAGAGGAGAGTATTTAAATGAATAATGCAACGTGATTGACTGAGGCCCCATCCACACTACTGCGTTTTAGTTTAGAAACGGAGAATTAAAACGAATACGATCTCCGTCCACACCAGCGTTTTAGCTGCGTATTAGAATTGATCTCCGTCCACATTAAAACGACTGAAAACGCGGATCACGTGACCATTCACCAACACTGGGCATGCGCGTGCCGGTGTAAACACAACTTCATTGATAAAATGATCCCACCATGCTCTGGGTTAACCCCAAACCGACGCTCCATGTACAGTCAACGCCGCCGCTGCACACGGGGAATTGTCACAGATCGCTCGAATAATAGCTTGACTCCAGCGCATGTAGGCAGTTATAGCGTTGTAAAATGCAGAATTTACTTGTACAACCGCTGCTAGCAAAGATATACGCCATGACTGATGACACCCAAGCATAGAGCTGAGCGGGAGCCTCTACTACGTCATCGTTTCTAAAGTCCTCCGTTTTGTCCCGTCTACACTAAAACGCCCTCCGGAGATTCAAAACGAAAAACGGGTCGGCAGCGTTTCTAAACTTGTCCGTTTTGGGTCTCCGTTTTTGCCGTTTTAGTGTGGACGGGAGGTGCAAACGTAGCAAAAGGTCTCCGTTTTTAAACGAAAACGCAGTAGTGTGGACGGGGCCTAAGGTTTTTGCAAGTCCGTTTAACACCCCCCAAAAAGCTTGTCTTAACTTGTTTTGCGCTTGACATGCTGTGATGGTTGCTGAAGGAGGAACCGAAAGCGTGTGCTAGAAGGGACAGAATTTTATCCACTCATTTATTTGGAACGTCAGACGAACATTATCCGATCGTTATTTTACTTTGATGCGCCTGTATTGTTAGTAGATTACCCACACCTGATTCTCATCGGCTCTGCTTGTTTGCGGCCCTACGCTCTTGGTAGATTGTGGTGGTCATTATGGAAATGTTCTTAAATTCTCGCATTGTCAGTAGATTCACCTCCAGAACTTTACACATTCATCTGCACTTGTGGGATTGCCCTCTCACGCTAATTTGCCGTTTAGTAAATCAGATGTTCAGCGTGGCACTTGCACAGAATGTACATTGGGTCAATTTTAAACATTTAAATACTTAATAGTAACGCCACGAAATTTAAATAACGTGTTAACATGATGAACAAATCTCTTGCCATTCTTTTCTGTGTGATTTGCACATTTAGAAACTTCAGCGCCGTGGCAGTTCTATAAATGCTGAAATGACTGTAAAAATACGGAAAGCATAATCTTTAAACAAATATACTGCTCCAATAATGCACACATTTTAAATGAAGATTTTATGTAGGTGCTTTTATAAAGTTATAGGCTATATTTATCTACTTTTAAAGACCCCTGTGGTGAAAATCAAGCTTTTAATGTTGTTTTGTCAAACCATGTGTAAATTCATAAGTCGACAGCATTGCTGAGTATTTTCTCCTTAAAACTGCAGTGAATCAAAGACAGTCTCAAAAACACGGCTTGAAATCGCTGGTGTTTCTGACGTCACAAACTACCTTGTAACCAATCAGATCAACGTGTGATCGTCAACCAGTGGATCTCTGAGCTGAGTGAGTGATTGGAGGCGGGGCTCATTTACATATTCATAGAACCGCGTATACTAAATGAGGCAAGGGTGTAGAGTTACATTCAAGATATTTTAAGGCATGAAGATTTTTATTTTCAAGGAAAAAACTTTCAATATGTCATTTTTGTGATCAAAGATGAGATTTAAGGGATACAATTTTTGACTACAGGGAGAATTTAACAATCATGTTCCTTTTATTCCTTTATCTCTCTGGATGCAGGCAGATACACTACCGTTCAAAATGTTTGGGTTTTCTGAAAGAAATGAATATTGTTCATAATAAAGTGATCAAAAGTGACCGTAAATGCATTTATTATGTTACAAAAATGTTTCTTGAGCATCAAATCATCATATTAGAATGATTTCTGAAGGATCATGTGACACTGAAGACTGGAGTAATGATGTTGAAAATTCAGCTTTGATCACAGGAATAAGTAAAACTAAAAAAGTTCTTTTTAACTGTAATAATATCGCACATTATTATAGTTTTTACTGTATTATTGGTTAAATAAATGTAGCCTTGGTGAGCTTAAAAGACTTCCTACAAAAACAATTACGAACATTGACCAACCTCAGACTTTTGAACGGCAGTGAACACGGACAGTCCTTGGCCTTGTGGAAACTAGATGAATGTTAGATACACAGATCACATGTTTTGACACATTCTTGTTCCTAACTAAACATTTCATGTGTTTATTCAGGCTCTGGAAGAGAGAAAGGGCAAGGAAAATGCCACTCAGCAAAGCACGCTCAATTTCAGATGGAAAAACAGACAGAAACCGTAGACGGACAAGGGGAAAAACTGGAGCAGGCTTTGCTGGACGAGTGTAAACCACTTCTTAGAAACATCCTCACACATTGGGAACCCAAACCTGAACCCGTAGACAAACCTGATTCAAGCAATCTAAACGTCGCAACTGCATGTTTAATTCTCAAGTGGGCCCTGAAGACATTGACCGAGAGCCCGTATGATGACAGCAGCACCTCAGCTCTTTTAAAATGGGTGAATAGCGTCATTCTGCCGCGCTCTGCAAATGTAGACGCTGTTCTGTCTGATGAAATCACGAGAAAGGACTTTCTAAGGTTATATCACCACACAGCGCAAGAGCGTGGCTCAACAGTGGACACCCTTCAGCTGTTCTCTAGAGTCATGGTTCATTTGCTTGAGGCGCGCGGCGGGTTCCCCGACGTCATCCACCAGACGGTGTTACGAACCTGCTTGCCTGCGAATACAGAGGATGGTGCCAAGAAAGGTAAGGCTACAGCCATAGAGCACAGCAGTCAATCCCAGTCTTTCCTCTCTAGAGACATTGAGTTTTAGCACTGTGGTCTCAGATTTAGCATGTTCACACTTCGATTAAAACATGGGCGTAGGTTTGGTCTCAGCTTTGGTGGGGACATCCCATCTGACCCCCCCCCCCATCATCTCATCTCATCTCATCTCATTATATTGTATCCTGACCCCCGATACACCATCCTGTATACTGTCAATAAAGAGCTAGTATAACTGTATAATCTCAAAAATGCACTCTCAAAAAATAAAAACCTGAGACTGTAATGCTGAACAACCAAACATTTTATTTAACATAAATTATTATGTATCTTCTATTCTATATCAAATTCTATTGATATATTCTATCCTCCTACCAGATATTGTTATTTGGATATTATCAAACAAATAATGATTCATTATATTTGAATAACCAACAGTGTTTACTTTTGCCTTTTTAACATTGCCAACATGTTTTTCCAGACATGTGTCTAGCAAGTAGGCTACACTCACAAATACATTACATAAACAGAATGTAGAAACGAAAAATGTCTGAGATGATCCACTGTTTATGACTGCAAGATTCTAAGTTAAGGTAGGCTAATTAACATTCAGTGACTTGCTAACGTCTATCATGATTCATGAGTCTATCCGTGCTGCACACCGCTAATTAATGCTCCTAACCTTGAAAGATTGCAGAAGCTAGGTTTAACTGTAACAATATCCTGGGTAACCAGAATCACCAGTTAAAACTATTTTCCACAGTAGAATCTGCATTTGAAAGCATGGTCAGTCACTCACTACTACTGCTAGTTATTTGTGTGGCTAGTTATTTTTGCCTACTTACACTCTGCTTTATGAAAAAGCTTCGTATGTCCCCTTTCTTCTTCTTGGGTGACATAGCTGATCTACAAAGTACAAAAAGGGGCAAAAAACGGAATATTAAAATGTTTTACCCTGGCCTTTGTATATGGCATGCAGAGAGACAGACAGCCCTGGTAACTTACCGTCGGCGTCGTCACGCGCGCACACACACACAAACACACACACGCACACACCACCCGCTCGCTGCCAGTGAGTGCAAGCACAAAAAGTAGTCCCGGCCCGCGCGTGTAGCCTGCCTGTCAGACACCCCGCCGCCAATCAAATTACGGCGTATCTTGTACTGTCGTCGTCCTGGCCGTTGGAATCGATCCAAATAGCAGCGCAAATATCAAAATAGCAGTTCAAAGGAGCTTGCTAAATATTGGTGGGGACAAATTTGTCATCTCAAAATATTGATTGGGACTAGTACCTAGCGTCCCCCCCTAAACCTACGCCCTTGGATTAAAACAAGCTGTGTTAGTGCGGATCATTTTAATGAGTGGCATCCGAACCTTGGTGGAAAAAGAAGTGGACAACGAACTCTCAGGGCCCTATCATACACCCGTCGCAATGCAGCTCCAGACGCGACGCAAGTGTGTTTTGCTAGTTTCAGCCCGACGCATTTATCATTTTTCAAGTCCTGCTCCACGTTGTTTAAATAGTAAATGTATTTGCGCCCATGGGCTGCTGGTCTGAAAATGAGGTGTGTTCAGGCGCATTGTTGGCGCGTTGCTATATTTGAGGAAACTGAAATGGACTGCGCCATTGACCAACTGAAACCTGGTCTAAACTCAATGGCGCAGTATTGTTACTTAAAGAGCACGTTAGTAATATGAGCCTATAGGCAGGTACACAACACGCGCACACTCTTCTAATAACACACACAGGGACGCGCAGCGGCACACAAACATGCCAAATATTAAAAATTAAAGGATTACAAAGTAAAAGATGAATAAAGATATGGTGGAATCCGGCTTGTCCCGTAGATGGTCTTTAGCCTCGCGCACGAGCAGATCCGTTTCCTCCCTAGAGAAGCGTTCAGTTTTACTGCTTGCTAATTCCTCCATGTAAATAGCGAATCCGCCATAGCGCGAGCGCAACTGGCTTTTAAAGGGAATGGGAGATGAGACTCTGATTGGTTTATTGCACGTTACGCCCAAAACACACCCATTACTCATTAAAAGAATAGGGACAACCCTTTTAGACCATGCGCCGGGAGCGCCAACCATTTGTTCCTTCGTTAAACAAGCAAAAGTGGATTTGGACACGCCCTGAGTACACTTGCGCCGTGCACTTTAGACCATGCAATTAGATTAGGGGTGGGGAACGCTGGTCCTGTAGGGCCACTGTCCTGCAGAGTTTTGCACCAACCCTGAAAAAAACTCACCTGATTGTAGCCTTAGTGATCCTTAAGACATTGATTAGCTGGTGCAGGTGTGTTTGATTAGGGTTGGCCCTCCAGGACCAACGTTCCCCACCCCTGGCTTAGAGACCCTTAAAATAGGGCCCTTGGTGTGCTTCGACTGAAATGTGAACGCAACTTGGAGCAAAGACATCTAAACGAGCCAAAAACAGGATGTGATGTCACAAATCTCAAGTATATCTGGTTCTTCTCGTCACATGAGCTTCGTTGCCAATTTCGTTTCGTAATCGTGAAAAGCCATGGAAGAGGAAAGCTTTGCGAAGGCCGGTTCACATCAAGAACGATCCCTATTTAGTGTCCACAGCGGCGCATGATGTCGTTCTGATGTCGTCTGCCGCTTTAAATGCTCGAGCTCTTAAAGCAGGATGGATTCTGATTGGCTGTCAGTGTGTTTATTGTTCATCCGCTGGCGATATTGTTTTTCTGTGCCGGTATCGTTATATGGTGGTGTGGACTCTGCTATTCTTTTATATGTAGAATGATTTTTAGAACGATATCTTTATCGTGATCATTATAGCTATCATCCTTAGTGTGAACAGGCCTTAAAGGGATAGTTCACTTTGAAATTAATTTTTGATATTTTTCAGCTTACCTCAAGGGCATCCAAGATGTCTTTGTTTCCGCAGTATTTTCAATTTTGATATTTTTAGGTCAAACCGTTCTTGTCTGTCAGTCATATAATGCAGGTCTATGGTCACCACCTCAAAGAGCATGCACAGAGAAGTCCAAATTAAACATGATTTAATGACTCGTAAATGTAAGTACACATTGATGGCCTAAGACACGAAACGAGCGGTTTGTGTGAGAAAACGAACAGTATTTATATCGTTTTTACCTCTTGCAAACACAGCCACGTCCAAGTGATCTGAGGGCGCCGGCGCTTCGGTCTTTTCCGGAAAGTCAATTTTTTACGAGTCAATAAATCATGTTTAATTTGGACTTCTCTGTGCATGCTCTTTGAGGTGGTGACCATAGACCTGCATTATATGACTGACAGACAAGAACGGTTTGACCTAAAAATATCAAAATTGAAAATACTGCGGAAACAAAGACACCTACATCTTGGATGCCCTTGAGGTAAACTAAAACATACCAAAAATTAATTTCAAAGTGAACTATCCCTTTAAAGTCACCATGAAATCAAAATTGATTCCTTATGGACAAAATCAAGTCCCATCCTAATTTTCTCATTCGTTTCATTTGGATATATCACAGTAGGGAAGAAAAGACGACCACAACTTTGATTTTGACGACGTCATTCTTGTATTTTAAGTTTATTGCAATATATATGGAAATACACTGCTGTTCAATAGTTTGGGATCTGTAATATTTTTAATGTTTTTAAAAGAAGTCTCTTCTGCTTACCGAGGCTACATTTATTTGATTAAAAATAAACAATAAACGTAATATTGTTAAATATTATGATAATTTAAAATGACTGAATATATTTTAAATTATAATTTATTCATGTGATCAAAGCTGAATTTACAGCATCATTACTCCAGATCCTTCAGAAATCATTTTAGGATACTTTGAGGAATAGAAAGTTATATTTAATTTTTTTTAAACAGAATCTTTTGTAACGTTATAAATGTCTTTACTGTAACTTGATGAATTTAATACATCCACACTTTTGAACGGTAGTGTTTAATGATACAAAAGCTTCCTATTTCAGATAAATGCTGTTCTTTTGAACTTTCTATTCATCAAAGAATCCTGAAAAAAATTTGTAAATAACTGTTTTCAACATTGATAATAATAATCAGAAATGTTTCTTGAGCATCAAATCATCATATTAGAGTGATTTCTGAAGGATCATGTGACACTGAAGACTGGAGGAATGATGATGAAAATTCAGCTTTGATCACAGGAATAAATTACATTTAAAAAATACATTAAAATAGAAAACGGCTGTTTTAAATTGTAATCATATTTCACAATATTATTATAATATTATAATATTTGTTTGTATTTTTAATCAAATAAATGCAGCCTTGAGTAGAAGAGACTTCTTTTAAAAACATAAAAAATCGTACAGATCCCAAACTTAGATATTTGTAATCAAGTTAATCAAATTACTATGTGAATAGTTTTGTATCGTACAGTAGTTTCTGTCACATGCAGTTTGATGAGTTTCATTCACTCACTGTAATGATATTATAGTTTAAGATGCTTTTCCCCCTCTTCAGAGCAAAGATGGTAACGTGTGCTATTCCTCTGATGGCTGGATAGTTTGGTTTATGGCTCTTTATTGAAGAGTGTGTTTTGAAAACCCTGTTAAGATGATGATGAATGGGAAAAATGCATTTGTTGAAGCGGTCTATGATCACTGTGGCGTATGTTTCTCCACTGAAACATTGTTTGTTTGTGTTGTTGTCAGAAAGCGGTCTGAAACTGCTGTCTCTGTACATCTATGAGCTGTGGAGCGGCGCTCGGTCACCTGACCTCCTGCTGACCCACGCCAGGCTGATGCGCTCCAGGACGGGCACATCTCACACACTGCTCATGTGCAGAGAGATCCTGTCCGCGCTCGACCCCTGACACGCTGCGCAAAAGGGTAATAGAAGATGTTAAGTGGATCTTTTTGTAATTTTATAAATTTAAAATAAAAAAAGATGAACAGAACTTTTGTGTTTGTGGTTTTTTTTGTGCCTATTAATGATTTCAGTATGATTGCATTTTTACATTGCACGTGTTTTATAGTTTAGCATTGATAGACTTTTTTTTGGTTTTTTTGGTACGGCCAAAAAAAAACCCCACCCAATATTTGACCGTTTGTATGGAAGCTCGTTTCTGCCACCAAAAGAGACTCAGAATTGCGAGTTTGTCTCTTACAATTCAGTTTTTCTCAGAATCGTGAGATACAAACTAGGGGTTATAAAGTCAAATTCTGAAAATGTATCATTTTGACTTTATAATTTGCTATTTCGAGTTCATATCTCACAATTCTGACATTTTTCTCGCAATCGCAAGTTTATATCTCGCATTTCTGACTTTATTTCTCAGAATGACAAGTTTGTATAATCTCACTATTCAGACTTTATAAATCACAATTGTGTCTAATTCTCAGTAAGGCTAGTTTATATCTCACCATTCTGCCTTTTTTTCTGGCGGTTGAGAGTTTATATCTTGCATTTCGGACTTTATATCTCAGAATTGCGACTTTATTTCTCAAAATAGCCACTATATATCTCACAATTCTCACCTTTTCTTGCTATTTCAAATTTAAATCTCACATTTCTGACTTTATTTCTCAGAATGGCGAGTTTATATCTCGCACTTATGAATTTATTTTTCAGACCTGAGACTTTATATCTCAGAATTGCGACTTTATGTCTCTGAATGGCGAGATCATATCAATTACGAGGAAAAAAAAGTCAGAATTGTTGGATAAAAAGTCACAATCACCTTTTTTTATTTTTATTTTCTGTGACGGAAACATAATTCCATGGTTTTGAGATTACCAGCTGAAATATCAAAACTGTCAGTTATCTATTGACATGATCACATGTTAATAAATCTTTTTTTTTTTTCATATATTTGTAGTTACTTTTTAGTAAATCCTGTATGTAATAAGTGTTAAATTTCAGAAATATCACGTACATCTGATTTTCCATTACTAAATCATATATATATATATATGAGAGATATGAGATGGACACATTGATCAGGATATCATGGTTTAATGTCAGTTAGTAGGCAAGGATTTTTCTACATTGTGTGTTTTCACTCGTGTACAGAATCAGATCTCATCATGGCTTTAGTCTTCATGAAGTTGCTTCTTATTTGTATCTTTTCTGAGGAGATCCATAGCTTTTCATCAACGGCAAACCTGATTTTTTGACACGAGGACCCCTATAAACAAATCAAAATATAATAATATTCACTTCATAAAATATTTGTTGGTCTTTTGTCAAGCTTTAAAGACTATCTAGAAGGCTTTTATCAATTAGCGGAGTATGTCTAGATTCAACATGTCTTGTTGGTTATTAAAAAGCAGTATGAGAATTCAATTCAATTAGAAACCATGAACAAAGCAAGTGCACAAATACAAATAAAATATTTGTAAACAATGAAAAATTAGCATATCTAAAATGACCACAGTGTGATAAATATAATAAACATGTTTATACAGTGAAATGAGCTTTTTCATTCTTACCTTGGTAGTTGCCCTGTGTGTGATATAAGTGACAAAATCAAGAAGAAGAAGCCAATAAACGCAGCTAGAATGATCCAGAATATCAGCACAACTGAATCTAGAGAGAGAACGAGTTAGACGTCCCATCGGCTGACCTGTGATCTAGAAGAGAGAGAGAGTTAAAGGAGCTCACATCTGTTGTACTTCAGTGCAGTGGCGTTCACAAAGACTGGGTCCACGTAATCGTAGTAGTACTCGTAGTCCAGCACGTATTCAGATTCAGACTTGGTGGCGTTCCTCATTGTGTTTCGATTCGGTGATGTTGTGTGTGAATCTGAAACCTGAGTGATTAAATCCTTGATCTTTAAACACAGTCAAGCCACTCCCCCTTTCACTATACAGTCCTCTGTTCTGATGAGAGCAAGAATGGAGAGGCACACAGTCCAAGATGCTTGAAGTTTCCACAATCTGTGTTGGTTTGGGGAGCCGTGTCATCGGCTGGTGTTGCTCCACTGTGCTTTATTGAGTCCGGAGTCTACCGGGACATTTCTAGCCGTCTAGCAGACACGCTTTATGGAGATGCTGACTTCATTTTCCAGCAAGTACCAAAACCTGGTTCAATGACCATGGGATTACTGTGCTTGATTGGCCAGCAAACTCGCCTGACCTGAACCCCATAGAGAATCAGTGAGAGAGATGAGGGACATGAGAGAAGAGCTGAAGCATGCTGGTCTTCATAACACCTCCGCAGTGCCACTGGCTGACGCCGCATTCAGGCTGAGACTCAGGCAAAAGAGGCCCAAAACAAGTACTGAGCACATATGCATGATTATACTTTTCAGAGGGCCGACATTTCTGTATTTAAAATGTATTTCTTTTTTTTTTATTGATTTCATGTAATATTCTCATTTTCTGAGATTTTGAATTTGGGGGTTTTCATAAGCTGTATGCCATAATTATCAAAATTATAACAAATAAAGGCTTGAAATATCTCACTTTGCATGCAATGAGTCTATATAATATATTAGTTTCACCTTTTAAGTTGAATTACCGACATAAATGAACTTTTGCACGATATTCGAATTTTTCGAGTTTCACCTGTGTATCTGATTTAAACAGTAACATTTATTATACGGGTGATTTTCTCTTCAGTTAAAAAAAAAGATGAATCAAATGAAGGAAGGAATTAATTTTTTTATTATTAATTTAACTATTATATAATAAGTATTAATAATTATGTATTTGTTAAATGACAGATATAATAATAACAATAATAATTATTATAATTCTTGTTTATACTAATACATTCTTAATAATTGTTAATATTTCTGAATATAGGATATTTCTTATACAGGTGAATTTCTCTTTTAATGAATGGATGAATAAATGAAGGAATTACTTAATAAATAAAATGATTATTGTTATTACTGTAATATATAATAATAATATTATTATTTTTGTTAATTGTTATTATTAACTTAATTATTGATAGAAATTATAACAATAATTAGAATGATTATTACTAATTATGAAGGATGTTTATGAATATAGGATAGTATTATTTATGCTCTAAATAATAATTACAGCAACAATAATAATAATTATGATTATTACTGTTATTATTGATTATTATAATTGATCATTTTTTAAATAAATAACAGTAAATAAATGATCATTAACATAAATAATATAGAATTAATGAATAATTAAATCAATACAATTGTTATTATTATTAAGTTAATAAATAAACACATTATTATCATTGTTGTTACCAATAATTTAATTATTAATAATAACTAATTATAATATTAATAAGAATTATTATTATTTGTTAAATCATAATTACAACAGCAATGATAATAATTATAACTATAACTATTATTGTTGATTATTATTATCATTGATGTTTTTTTATTAAATAACAATAATTGTTGTTATTAATAATAATACTGTTTTTATAATAATAATTATTAATACTATTATTATTTATGTTATTATTTCGTAAGAATAAACAATGATCGTCAGAAAGATGTGTTTTTTTCTGCTAATAACTACAATGTATTTTACGGCAAAAATAAAATGTAAAATGACTTCTGGTGAGAGCTTTGAGTCAAAATATAGCTAGCATCCAAAAATAAAAAAATGTATTTGTGCCCTGTTTACATAATTTAAAAAATATCAAACATGGTGTTACATTTCAAAAACTCTTTCATCATCATGTAATGTAGTGTCTACCCTAATTTTTATGTAACTGTAATTTTGAAAAACTATAAATGATTCTTGCTTTCATTATGTTTATGATTAATGATTATGTGTTCAAAAATGATATGTGATGGATTTATGATCACAACGTTTGCATTGATGATAAGAAGTTAAGACGTCTGGGCAAACCCATACATAAACCGACCAATAGTGAGTGAGCTACACGAATGATCCCGCCTCCCGTGCGCGATTCATCCAATCACAGCACACGGTGTATGTTTGAAACGGCCAGTCTCAGATCACATTACATGGACTTCATCGCTTACAGCTGTTTGTACATTGTCGAAGTTTCGTTTTCAGCCGAAAAACAAATAGAAGTCATTTCATCGAACTTTACAAACTAAAACTTTTAATCCACAATCAGTATTATAGCGAGTATAAAATATCCGAGCGTTCGCGTTTCTGATCAATGCTCAGCATTTAACGCGTTTTAATTACAAACGAATATGTGACTTCAGACTGTGTGGCTTAACGTTATTTATTGAGCCGTTTTAAAGAAGAGTGTTGCGCTATGGCGGATGGAGCGAGTCTAAACGCAAGTAGTTTGACCTCTCGAGCAAGGAAAGTCAATAACAGCGTTTCAATCCCAGCGAACATGAGGAGAAAAACTCGACAGAGAGACAGACGAGACATTCATAACCGGGTATGAACAACACGACTCATGATTCACAGGCCACAAAACTCAACGACTCTTCCTGTTTTCACACTCGTCTTCATGAAGTTGGTTATAGTTGTTGTGTCGTTCATACACAATTGCACGTTGCACACCCTGTTTATCGCATTGCATTGACCAGCATGCATGTTAAATGTTGACGTGCATGAGATGGTTAACTAGTTGTGTGAAATGTTTCATGAAGTTGTATTGTGATTGCAGGTCGTCCTGGAGAAGGTCCTGGGCATCAGTGCCTCCAGCAGCAGTGCTTTAACCTGCGACCACAACACGGGTTTAGTGGCCTATCCTGCAGGGTAAAGTCACGACTGTCTCTATACGTGTTTTCTGTGTCGAAGTCCACACTTAAAGGCGTATGTCACTCAAAAACGAAGACTGCCCTTTACTCACACATTTGACGTTCTTTTGGTCTTCTTTTGTAAAACAAAAAGTTCATCTTTGAAAAATATCCTGACTGCTGTTTTTCCTTATAATGGAAGTGAATTATGACTGGAGCTGTCAATCTCAAAACTGACAGGCCCAAAGTAATCCATACGGTTTGTGTGTTGTGTTGCTCTTCTGAAGACATGGCTTTGTGTGTTGGCAACAAACCGAAATTCGCTGTAGAGCTGTCCAATATCGTATCAAATGTGGTGCCATCAATGATGGTTCTTCACGAGTCAATGGCGTTTGGTGCTATACGAGTCAACTTGTGTCTGTTTCCTAACTTATAACGACTTAAGAAGTTCACCCAAAAATGAAAACTATCCCATAATTTACTCGCCCTCAAGTCGTCCTAGGTGTATATGACTTTCTTCTTTCAGCCAAACACAGTCGGAGTTAACTTATATTAAAAAATATCCTGGCTCTTCCAAGCTTTATAATGGAAGTGAATAACAGATTTTTAAGCCCAAAAAAGCACAGCATCCATCATAAAAGTAATCCTTACAACTCTTAATAAAGGCCTTCTGAAGCGATGTGTTTTTGTAAGAAAAAAATATCCATATTTATAACTTTAAAGCCTGTAGTCACTGGGTTCGGGTAACGTCCGGTGGAAGATTGACCTCTGACCCGACGTAGGAGTAGCGTAAGCTTAGGTGAGAGTAGACTCCTCTCGCGGTTCAAACAAACAGGGTTGGGCAACAAACTCAAGACTTCTAATTTGTGACCGGTGTTTTATTTTGCTCTATCTTCTGCCCTTCCGCGATTAATACTGTCGGACGTCATTCTGCAGCCAGAACTACACTCGAGACCGGGAGCCAGTGATTCTAGTTTATAAAGTTATACATATGGATATTTTTCTTACAAAAACGCATCACTTCACTTTTATGATGTGCTTTTTTGGGCTACAAAATCTCAGGTAATATTCACTCCCATTATAAAGCTTGGAAGAGCCAGGATATTGTTTCATAACTGATTGTGTTCGGCTGAAAGAAGAATGTCATATACACCTAGGATGGCTTGAGGGTGAGTAAATCATGGGCTAATTTAAATTTTTGGGTGAACAACTATCCCCTTAAATCTTAGTTTGTTTCATAACGTTTTCTTATGACGTCTGAAAACTTGAAATATAGAGTTGTATTGATGACTTTTATGGTCCTTTTTTTATGTTTGGAGCTTGACCGCTCCAGTCCCCATTCACTTTCATTGCTAAGGAAAAGCCTGCAGCCTTTCTTTAAAAAGTGAATTGAATGATACTTTAATTACATATTGATAATTTCACAGTATTACTGTTTTTACTGTATTTTAATCAAGTAAATGCAGCATTGTTGAGCAGAATATACTTTTTTCAAAAACTTACTTACTCCAAACTTTTGAACAGTAGTTAATGCAAACTGTAAATGATCACTTTCACCTGTGAACTAATGCAGATACGATGTTGTGTGTTTCAGTTGTGTTATTGTCATCCTGAGCCCAAAGAAAAACAAGCAGACTCACATATTTAATACATCCAGGTAAACAACACGCGTATTATCTTTACTTCAGTGGCATAGTGTTGTACATTGAAACCGAATTAAATCCGAATCATGTGTTTGTTGCTCAGGAAAACCTTCAGTGCCTTGGCTTTCTCGCAGAATGGAAAATATTTGGTCACTGGTGAGGTAAGTGTCCTGAGATGTGTAACGAGGGCCAGAAGAATGACGACTGTGCCGAATGCCCTCAGAGACAGGCTCTCGCTGATTCCTACGGTTATCTTCTGTATATGTGGTAGAGGAGGGCTTATGCCTGGGCTTCTCCCTGCGCTCCGACACATTCCTGCTCGTCATAGTGAGGCCCAGTGTCTGTCCCAACTTGGAAAACCAACAGAGAATCGCTGTAGCGACAGCAGATCACAAATGCAGCGCAATGCTTTTGCTTTGCTTTTTTTAGGCATCTGACTAATAATGCTGCGTATTTCATAAGGGAGTTTGCAGATAATTAAAAGAATAGTTCCCTCAAAAAAAAAAAAAACACGTCTTCAGATATTTTCCTAAAGAATAGTCTTAAATGGGTTTGGAATAGCGGCGATGCCGAATTCTCAGTTTTATGTGAAGGATTTCTTCACCGGTTTAAGTGTGAGCCGAGTCACAAGATTCATATCACTGCAGCTGCGTTTAGAGGAGGATTAGTCACCATTTAAACTTTTGAAAGGCACATGTTGTCCTACATTCTCTGACACATGATTATTTATCAGTGGCTGCTTTTTCCACTCATGCCTTTTCTCACTATCTGACCGTGTTGAAAACTAGTAAATGAAAATCAAATCTGAAATGGCATACTGTCATACTACTCATACCATTTCTGCAGTGTGTACGAATAAAATGATCCAAATTACCTACTACATTAGCCTAAATGAGTATGTTTTAAATATAGCAAAGACTTTATATATAGAAAGTCACTGCAGCTGCTGTTAGAAGCTCCTGTTGCCATAAAAACATCCAGTGTTCTGAGACGCGTGCTTGTGAAATATAAGGTTTTTATGCTATTTGAGCATAGGAAACATTTATGGGACGGTTGATGTCAGATTTTGCTGTTGATTTGAAATGTTATTTAGTTCAGCAAGCAGTTTGAGATTTCAGGATTCCCTCATTCAAGTAGACAGGACTTTGTCTTGGATGCCAAAAATCGCTGACCGGAGGTGTTGCAAATATGGCCGCCGAGGGAACAGACTTTCCTTGAAAGGGACTTTTAATATAGTCACGTTTATCTCGTTATTGGCCACAATAGAGCGCACGTCTACTTTTTTATTTTTTCCTTTCATTTTTCACCTAGGGATTCAAAAAAGTTTGTTAATGAGTAATAACCATGAACCGGAAAAAATCGGATAACGATACAAAGGTACAGGACTGTACTTAACCTTTTTAATGAGAAAAAGAACTACAATCCCATGAAGCATTGCGAATGACATCTCGCAAACAACTCTAAACAAATATAAATCTATTGTTATAAATACATGTGTGTAGAATCAATTTATTCAGTTGGTTTATTGCAAAATGTATAAAATATTTAAGCAGTTTTATAGTGTAGGGAGACTGAAGAAGGTGCTTCCCAATTTGTGCACTTATGCACTATTCTGGGCCGTTTTGTAGTGTAAATAGTGTCAAAATAACCATATAAGATTCATACACTAGATGTTTTGTATATAGTACAAGTACATAGTATATAGTGTGTCATTTGGGCCACAGCCTGACTCTATTACTTAATTTGCAGTGCATTGTGGGAGTGGGCGTGGCTAAAGTTCTTTTAGAGTGTTTTGCTTGTTTTGAATCTGATTGGTGGAGATCTTTGCAGAATCATGGGTAATGTAGTTTTTCACCATAGATGCCGCTGTTAAACACGACGGTTACGATATGTAAAATAATGTGAACTGATGGCTTCAACAATGTAATCGATGAACAACCTCTTAGCCTACAGTAAGTCTGTGTTAAAAGGTGTACAAGTTAGCATTTAAAACTAATTCCCCGACCCTATAAAGAAAAATAAATAGGCTGTTGCACTCTGTTACACTGTATAGTATTGTAGACAAATCTGGGTTTCGGGTCTCACATATTTATTATGATTTCATGCATTATTTTTCCTCCTCTTCATCTGTGTAGAGCGGGCACATGCCCTGTGTGCGTGTGTGGGACGTGGCAGAGCGGGCGCAGGTGGCAGAGGTCCAGTGCCACAAGTACGGGGTGGCGTGTGTGTCGTTCTCCCCCAACGGGAGCTATATAGTGTCTGTGGGATACCAGCACGACAGGACCGTCAGCGTCTGGGAGTGGAAGGTTGGTTGAATAGTGAATAGTTTTTCGTCTTCCAACCAAACTTGAGTCCAAAGTTTAAATCCCGTCCTTCTAGAGCTCTTCCTATAATGTTTACGCGTTAGCACTGAGTCGTCGGTTACAGGACATTCGCTCGGAAAGACAGAAGATTGCATGCGAAGTTTAGAAAAAGAACCAAAGCAAAAAGATGAAGGAAATGCTGCTTTGTTCACAGTTCTTGGAACAGCGTGTCGTCTTTGTATCACTCTTCTTCGACGACTACAAATCACAACTGTGCTTCTGTCTCAACACATTCACCTCGCGCATGCGCTGTTGTGCGCTCACTAAAACTGGGCTGCCCATGGATGTCCGTGGACCCTCATGATGATAAATTGTTGCGCGGATGGCTGAAGTATTCTATTAGATTGTGAACCATAACCTGAATTCAAAATCAAAATTACTCATTTCTATTAGAGATGCACCGATTACAATTTTCTAGGCCGATTTCCGATTTTTCAGAGTTTGACCTGCCGATACCGATTTCATTTTTTCTAACCACTTTACAGCACACACAAATATTTATTTTCTCTCTTTTCTTTAGTAGAACATTTGACATTTTGCATAGAACATTTTTGAACAGTAATCGCTATAAAATAGGACTATATAAATTACTCCTTGTGTGGGAAATTCACACACATCTGAAGTGCAGTGTTATGGAAGAACCATTTCCATCTTTTCACATCCAATATCCAACTAAAAAAGTTTGTTCATTTCAAAAAGAAAATTCATTTTCTTTTCTGACATATACTCCAGTTCTTGTTAAAACACACCAGACATGCAAATTCTGTGCATTTTGGGCACTTTTGTGTGAAATCATATTTATTTTGTCCAGCAAAAGTGTGCTTTCACTTTAAGTGAGCGTGAGCAGTGCAGCAAAAATAGACTCTGCGCCGAAACCCGCGCTTCACCGCTGCTCCTGCTCGACGCTCCCGGTGTGAATGCACTCATTGATTAACAGGCACGCCGGAAATAATACGCGCTGCTCACGTATGCGGTGTGAAACGGCCGTAATTCACGAGGTTTCCTACATGTGCGTTCCGTGTGCACGTGTGATGCTGATGTTGCGTGATGTTAATCATGCGGCGCCCGAGTGCATTTGACCGGCATAAAATCGGCATATGTCGGGCTGACCGGCCGGTCGCCGATCACGTGAAAATCGGCCAATCCCGGTCACCAGCCGATCAATCGGTGCATCTCTAATTTCTATCACTTGTGGCATCACAAACAAGCAAATGTTTTAGTGTGAAAGCTGAGTGACTTTACATCATTCCCTACAGACTTGCTCGCTCTTTTTCTCAATATAGAGATTATAGATACATAATATTATCTACGTTATATTGCGCTATGTTTAAAATGGACACTTTGCGACTCGCATATCATCTGGAATTTTGAGATTCCCAGTTAGTAAATAAGACGTCACTCACTTGCTCGTTCATGTGCTCTGAACTCAAAATGAGGATGTTTCTGACTCCACTTGATGGCACATTAACCTCCTCTAGTGATGTTTGTTTAGGTTGCAGGGTGTTTAGAGTGAATTTTGTGAATGTTAACGTGTTCAGGGAGCAGTGGACGCTGCATAGGGGACTGCCAATCGGGACGCAGCTTGTGAGTTTGGTTTACAAGAATATATAAATAATGCTTTTAAATCTTCTCCTTGCTTGCAGAAGGGGACTGTAATCGCATCCAATAAGGTGTCCAGCCGTGTGCTCGCTGTGTCGTTCTCGGAGGACAACAGCTACTTTGTAACGGCGGGGAACAGGCATGTTAAGTTCTGGTACCTTGACGCCTCAAAGGAAAGACGGGTGAGACGCTTGGCACATGTTGCTACAGTCTAAATTTAGACTGGATTTCCAGTGCATCTGTAGTCTTCAATAGCATTTTTAAAAATTATAAAAGTTAATCTAAATAAAGACTATGGACTTTGAGGTAGAGGTGGGCTTTAGGGACTGGGACAAGTAATGACCCAATAAGGCAGCATCCATTTATGATTTTAGTAAAAAAAAAACATATTCTGTGTATATGATTATATTATTGCGTGCTATTTTATAATGTGCTACAACACACTGAGGTGAGAATAGCATCCGCCACTATCTTACACCTGTTGAGTGCTGATATGAATCGAAGTGTTTAGTGCAGTTTCCTTTGTTTGCCCACATCCTTTCTGTGACTGGGTTTTTGTTTTCTAACTAAATAGAGCACAAAACATATGCACACGCTTTCTTCATGTCATTTGTGGAGATTGTCACCTGTTGTGTCCTGCAGGTTAACAGTACGGTGCCCCTGATTGGTCGCTCGGGGCTGCTCGGGGAGCACCAGAACAGTCAGTTCTGCGGTCTGGCGTGTGGCCGCGGCTCTATGGCCAGCAGCACCTACTGCATCACACACACGGGTCTGCTGTGCCAGTTCAACAGCAACCGGCAGCTGGACTCCTGGGTTGATCTCAAGGCAAGTTGCGCACTGTGCCTTTTCATTGCTCTGTGATCCACTTAAAACCCTTTAATAGGGCTGGGTTGACGAAATCCACTTCTTGATTTTAATCCGATATCGATTCTCAAATCCATCTTTTAGTCTTTGCTGTTTTCAGTTGATGCATGAACAAAACTGCACTAAACATTTAGGGGCTGTTTACATTTCACCGTTTTCAACTAAAAGCGGAAAACTTGTCCGTTCATTGACACGACCAACGGCGTTTCGAGTGGCTGAAAGCACAAGTTTTGAAAACGAGTTTCAAAGTGCAAGTTTTTGAAAACGTTCTCCGTGTAAACAACAAAAACGTGAATCTCTGAAGACGATGACGTCATGCACATGCGTATATGTGTTCAGTCTATAGTGTTTCATCGCATCTAATGGCCTGGCAGAGGAATACAGCGTTTTTAGTAATTTTCGTGGATCCGTGTGAATGGGGATCGTTTAGACAATGGTGTCGTCTGTACGTGGAAAACTCAAAGGAACAACTTCTCCGTTTTAAGCATATCGGTGTCTTGTAAACGTACCCTTAGTTATATTGCGCCTCCCATCCAAGAAATGGCAATAAGCTTTGTTACTTTTGATAACAAAAGTCTCAGCTATTAAATCCTGTCTCTTTATTGTGGCATGGCAGACGGCCGTTACCGCCTTAGTTCAAGCGAACACGCAGCAATGATCTCATCTCTTCCTCTTTACTACTAGTTACAGCACAAAATAAACTACATTTTTTCATAGTAAAATAAAATGTCGCTGTAGTTTGCCTTTTTTTTTGCCAATTAATTTTGTCACATAAATACTGTAAATAAGTTTAGTGTTTTTTTCTTTCTCATTTCTCATATTAAATTTTTTTTTTAATGCCAGCCAAGTCGAAAGTTTTTATGACACCAATTGTCAAAGTAATTTATTATAAAAACGGTCTTATGTACAACTTAAAGCTGCTGTAGGTAACTTTTGAAAACATGTATTTGCTAAAACTGTCATTATGTCCTGACAGTAGAATATGAGACAGATAATCTGTGTAAAAATCAAGCTCCTCTGGCTCCTCCTAGTGGTCCTATTGCCATTTGCAAGAAATACACGCTCCCGGTCAGAAACAACCAATCAGAGCCAGGAGGAATGTCTTAGCAGTGTCAATCACGCTCGTGTACGCGCTGATCACACCCCTCTCTTGCACAGCGCGAGCGCCGGAGCGCGAGCCGTCGTTCAAACTCAAGATTGCCGGCGAGCTGCAGCTGTGCTTATGACGGAGAAACAACCTAAACTGCCAATTCTCGAGTGACACCTGCTCATAAAACAAAGAGGTAAAAGGAAAAAGACTGATGACGATAAACAAGCGAAAAAGAAAGAATTACACAGAGCCCATTGACTCGGTGTCAAAACTCTAGCCGCATAACATATAGATAAAATGTCACGCACTCTGCTAAGCAACAATTGAAACCTGCTAATTCACTGGCTTGTCATGTTGCTGAAATAATGTACTAGCACACCTTATCTAGCATTATATATCGCTAGAATAATTACTTGCATACTGTAACGTTAGTTACCGTTATATTAACGTTATCTTACTAGCTATTTATAACTTATAGAAAGAGTGCAACGTTATAAAGTTACATGTAGGCTATTGCAAAATACATAATGATTTGAGGACCAAGTTTGTAGTCAAAGTATGGGCAGGCCATAGTCAATGTGAAGCATATTATTGACGTTTAGCCCCTATTAGTGAATGTGCCATATAACTTTTTATCCACCGTCATCGGTGGGCCTGTTTACTAGCCTGCGCGTTCACGACGGGCTCCGCTGTGGAGGACGAGCTGTGGAGGGAGGGCTGTAGCGCAGCAGAGAGCAAGGGGTGGGACCTGTAAGTTGTGCTGCTTCAAATTTTCAGGCTAAGTCAACGTTTTCTCAAAACTCCCTACTGCAGCTTTAGTGTTTGTATTCAAATCAGCTGGTAATTTTATACTTTAATATTATAGTAATATTGTATAGTAATATACCAACTGACAGGGTTCCGGTATAGTTTACAGCATTAGTTGTAGATTTGTATCCTTGAGAAACTTTACATATATTGCACCCGATATATTTCCAAATGAACTGATATCAAATTGAATCGCAAGCTTTTTAATCTAATCGAATTGTCAAATTTGTGTTAATGTCCAGCCCTACATTTTAACCCCACATATTTTTGATATCTACATTATCTGACACCTTTTCAGCAGTCCATTCCCAATTGCCCTCTGAACTTCATTTATTTGCATTTTTTTTTTTTTTAACTGAGGCATGAATATATTTAGCTGATATAAATCTATTTAAATTGCTCTATATCAATCATTTTAAATATTTATATATAATTTTAATACACAATGCATTTCAGTTGATCATTGCATGTGGATCCTATCGCATTGAAGAGATAAAATTCCAGATCCAGACATAGATGATAATCTATGCGAGTGCCTGGATGTGGAATTTTATCTCTTCAAAGCGATAGGAAAAACCTACAATTGTTTGCGTTTTGTTCCCCTTCCTGGAGCACCAACAGTTCTTCAACAAATCTGAATCTAATATTCCTTGTAATTTGTAGTAATCCCCATTAAAAAGTACATTTGCACACATCCAGTAAGACCCTACAAAATATTCAAGCATTTATTACACAACAAATAGGACAGGGTTTATAGGATGCCATGTATAAAGTATGCTGTCGTGTGTCTTTGTTTTGCGTCTGTAGACGACGTCAGCACAGGGCTTGTCGGTGAGCGAGACGTTTGTTTTCTGCGGCTGTGCTGACGGGACGGTGCGCGTGTTCAGCCCTCAGGACCTGCGCTACATCACCACTCTGCACCGGCCGCACTGCTTGGGGGTCGATGTGTCTCAGGGCACACAGCCGGGGTAAGAGTGAGACTCTCAGGCCAGATGCAAACGCCATACGTTTGTTGATTTAAAGGGCTCACATTACCGTCACATGCAAAAAACTAAGATTAATGATTGGTTTCTGTAATTGAGTTTAAGTAAAACTATACCTGATCCACAGTTTTTCTACTTTAAACGAAAGGAGGAAAAAAAATGGACTATGTTGGAGGAGAAACAAGATTTCACGTGTAGTCCAGTAAAATATTGTTCAAAGCTTGCAAAACAGAATAGAAAGCAAGCATATGGCTTAATCCGGATATATGATCTCACGTACCTTTCGAAATGTTTCTATATTCGCTGCCATTACTAAGACTTTAATTCTTTGTACTTCACACGTATCCAGAAATCCATGTAAAAGCAACTTTCACACGCGTAAAAATGTTTAGTGGACCTTAACTTTTGCTTATAAGTTGTTGTTATTATTATGATTCAGATTATTAAAAAAAACATAATTTGTATTCCAGAAAATACGATACTTCAGACATGTAGCTTTAACTTCACAACTATTTCAAGTTTATTGTTGTAAAAGGAATTAGCTTTACTTGAAATGTTGATTAATTGATTTACTTTGCATTAATTGCAATAAACTTTAACTTAAAATATTTTTTTAAAAATAATGAAATAGCTGATAAAAACTATAGACATATTTCTAATAAAATGATAAAAAACAAAATTACTAAAACTTTAACTAGAGTTAATATAAAAATAGAATGTATAAAAAATAAAACCAAATTCAAAATATTAACAAAAACTATAATAGTGTCAATACAACACTGGTGTGAATAATGTTGGCAAAATAAATCCGTTATTATCGCGTATGTATAATTGTTCAAACATTTTTTGTTAAACATCAAATGTAATTTTTTCTTTGATTGCTTCTCTATTCATAGGCATTTGTTCGGTGCAAACCCAGAAGCACAGTATCCAGATACCCTGGCTTTAACCTTTGACCCTGTGACCAGGCACTTGACGTGTGTGTATAATGACCACAGTGTGTACGTGTGGGACGTGCGGGACATTCGCAATGTTGGGAAGGTCTATTCAGCTCTGTACCACAGCGGGTGTGTGTGGAGTGTGGAGGTGCGTTACTCACACCAGCTCATGTTGAGGTTATCAGAACAAGGCCAGTTTATGAATGCATAATATCCTCTGCAGACCTACCCTGATCTTGAAGATTCATCAGCGTGTCTGTCGCCCGGATCTTTCCTCACCTGTTCATCTGATAACACCATCCGCCTGTGGAAAAGTGAGTCGCCGCAGAGTCACGGCTCGGCTCTCGGCCTTCGACACAACCTCTACAGCCAGGTAAGGATGATAATAATTCATTTTATTTGTGGGCGCCTTTCAAGACACTCAAGGACACCTTAAAATAATAAAATGCATAATTATACAGAGGAAAACAACAAAAAAAGTAAAAGTGATTTGTAAAATCAATTACCCAATAACATGGCTAAAATCAACCAGGATAGGCTAATCTAAAAAAAAAAAAAAAAAAAAGTTTTAAGACGTGATTTAAAAATTTAAAGACTATTACGTATACGCACTACTGCTAGACGGCGGGTCATCACAGTTCACACAAATATTTTCCTAATTTGTCTGAACAGCAGAGAACGCATATTTTGTCTTTTTATTTATTTGTTATGGGTTCGTACGGTCATGAAAAACCTGGAAAAGTTATGGAATTTTAAAATGGCAATTTCCAGGCCTGGAAAAGTTTGAAGAAAATAAATAAACCCAGAAAGTTTTTGGAAAACTCATGGAAATTGGTTTCACAGATATCTGTATAATAGAATATATGTTTAATCAGTGCCTGAATGTGATTTTGCAGGTAGTGCGCTTAGTTTTACTAACGCCCCTCGTTTTCCAAAACTAAATTCAGGCCGTGGTTTATTTGATAATATTGCTTGAACAAATTACAGTACTTGGGATTCATGACGTTATGTTCACAGTCGTAGTCATCAGTTGTCCTCCTAAAAGACTTTTTGTTCATCTTTGAAACACAAATTAAGATATTAAAGTTGTAATGAAATCCAAATTGACCCTATTTACTTTGTTAGCGCACATTATTAGTCTTGTGGTGGACAATTAATGTGTGCAAGTTAATACACAAACTATTTTTTTTTCTGTCTTTAATCAAAATCTGAAAATATGCTTCTGTTCTGGAATGGCGTTCCTCCTTTGACGGCAGTTTGATGGCTTGGGTTGAATATCCTTAAAGGGTTTGTTCACCCAGAAATGAAAACTATCCCATGATAAAAATATCCTGGCTCTTCCAAGCTTTATAATGGGAGTGAATGTTACCCGAGATTTTGAAGCCCATTATAAAAGTGACACAGATTCCAGGGGGTTAATAAAGACCTTCTGAAGTGAAGCGATGCGTTTTTGTAAGAAAAATATCCATATGTATAACTGAATAAAAGCCTAAATTAAATCTGTTCATCATATACATTGTGTCTCTTCAGAGGACTTGGATTAATCCACTTGATTCATATGGAGGATGACAGATCATTGTAAATAATGACAGAATGGTTTGCCAGTGTCTTCTTGAGTTCATTGGTTTATTGTATGTGAATGTGTTTCAGGACATCGTAAGGATAGTATATGTGGACGATGACACGCAGTACCTCAAAGCTGAGGCTGAGAAAGCTGAGGGAGGAGGTCAGGATGGTAAATCTGGGATCAGGGTGATGGGAATCAGCCCAGATGGACAGCATTTGGCAGCTGGAGACCGCAGTGGGAACCTGAGGTGAGGGGAGTGAGGCGTCTGTGCAGAGAACGAAATCCTACATCTATATATATGCTGAAGCGATGGTCTCTTCTTCAGGATCTTCGGCTTGCAGTTTATGGACGAGCTGCTGAAAATCGAGGCTCATGATTCGGAGGTCTTGTGTCTAGCCTTCTCTCCTAATGAGACCGGTAAGTGAGCCTTTATTTCAAATGCATATTTTGTAATGCACAACAACTAGTAGGGATACTTTGCAATTGGCAAAATGAGCTTTCAATAAAACTAGGCTGCCTATGCAGTAGAAAGGTTTTTGAATTTTTTATTTATTTTTTATAATAAATTTGGTGCTACCTTACCAGAGAGAACTGAGAAAAAAGGCTCTTTTGCCAAAGAGGTAGGAAAACACCCATAATGCACTGGACATGCTGCTGTCCGAGGCCACTCCCATCAGTCTGCAATAGATACGCTTGACCAGAGTCAAATACCGCCTTGCTTTAGTAGGAAATGCCTCTTAGCAAACTTTCAGTCATAATGGTGTCGACTTTTTGAGTTCTTGCGAGTTACTTTCGGTTTCCAGTGAAGGATAAAGCGTGTTGTGGGCAGTGGCTATAAGCTGAAAAGAGTACGGAGAGAACGCCGCGACGGAGAATGTAAAAAACCTCTGTGGTTGTGGTCAACGTTTAATGCCAAAAGGAGGGAAAAAACTGGAAGAAACTGGCAATCTGTCAGTTTGGCCCGACGCAAAACACTCGCATTCAGACAGAAAGCTGTTGTCATAGTGTTCCATAATTCTGTTTAAAGAGTTGACAGTACGTTACCATTTTCAGAGATAGTAAACCCTACCCTTACAATAACTGTTCTGTTAATAACCCTCTGTCGATCTGACGGTCTGTGGGCGGGGATACGAAGTGCGGAAATATAATCTGTAGGTTTCACGAAAGCTTTCACAAGTCCGCCGGATGACATTTCGATTTTTTTAATAGTAGTAAACATTGTTCCTTTATATATACTACCGACATTGTCATCACAATACAACGCGGGTTGAAAATCTGTGAAGTTACCGGTACTCTAAGTTTGAGGAGAAATGTATACTAGTGTTAGACATGCTGAGCTGAGTCGTGATCGGCTCACTGTAGTGTAAAACACTACACATTATCATTATCTACAGTGCAGAAGAGTGTGTTTCTCCTGTCAGGTTTGCATCTGTTGGCTTCTGCAAGTCGTGATCGGCTCATTCACATCTTTGACGTGGAGAAGAAATGCAACCTAGTGCAGACGGTTTACGATCATTCGGCCTCCATCACTGCCATCAAATTCACAGGTCAGTTCTCAATGTTCATACACTGAAGAGATTTGCTGCTGGTTTCCACCAAATCTTTCGGCTATTCTGACTTTTCTTACGTTTCTTGTCTTTCGTGCACGTGTTTTTGCAGGTCTGAATTCAGAGTTGTGTTTGGTCAGCTGTGGCGCTGACAAGAGCATCTATTTTCGATCTGCTGAGAAGGTGAGGATGAAGTGGTTACCCTTCAGATTGGTGTTACTGCTATAATGTTATAGAGGTATATCTTGTGTATCTACTGCAGAGAGGTTTCACTCGGATAGATGAGCAGATCATCCAAAATATGGTCATGCATTTGGAGATATTCAACAACAATTATGCCGGCTAAATATGCCATGGACTCCACATTCTAGTTTTTTATTTACTTATTTTATATTATCAATTTATTACCCTCTGATACATCAGTTATTAAATCAAGAAGGGAAAGAAAAAAATGCTTAATGATTTAAATAAATTAATATGGTACTCTATATTAGATTTAAAAAAAAATATAAAACATTTTTTAATCTTTTTAAAAAAAAAACTTTTTTCTTTAACATAAAATTAGGGCTCTATGATGTATTTTTCCTCAAATTCAGTATTTTTTTTGTAATTTAACTTTATTTATATTTTCCTAGCATATATTTAGATTTAAAAAAAAAGTATAAATGTATATATACATTTTTTCTATCTAATTTTATATTTAAATTAGTGCTGGGCAAGTTAACGCGTTATTATCGCGTTAACGCATTTATTAATTAATGCCGACAATTTTTTTATCGCGCGTTAACGCAGAGTTTTTTTTATTATTATTTTGAAAGTCCGTTGCTCACTGGCTCTGAATACACATAGGCCTACAGTCAAACCATGATCACAGGAGGGGTGGGATGTTGGTCAGCCAGCAAATAACCCACCCAAACAAGCAGTGGAGAGGCTTTGGCAGGTTCTCTCAGGTGAACAGAAAGGGAGACAGCGCTCCGCGAGTGAATGACAGGCGCTCTATGGATAGTAACCATGGCAACGGCTTCTGTACGCTATGCAACTGTAGCCTTTTTAACTTAAATTAAAATTATACATAACTTTACCTGATAGGCCTGCGTTTAGTTTAGCGGGGATGCTCTGCCATGTGAATTCCCTCCTGTTGATATCCTGATAATTTAGATTCTGGAAACTCACAAACAGCGAGCCGAGGATCAGTCTCTCTTCCAATGATTTGTGCTGCGCGTCGTGTACAAAAAAGTTAGACAATTCAACTTCGGCAACGCGCGGGCGCGTGCGTGAGGCGAGCATGACCGCAACAGTTTCACAGGAACGCACCCGCTTGTCGCTGCACCTGTGCTCGACCACTTCACCTCACTCTAGGCTGATTTATACTTCTGCGTCGGACCTACGCCGGAGCCTCTACGCTATAGACTACGCTTTGGTTTTCATAAATATATCTGCGTCGTTGTCCGCGTTGACGCGCAATTACACATGCAGAGGGAGAGTGTGAAACCCGGGGAGCGGTTCTAGCAATCACAGCGCTTGCGGTACGCGTAGAATTGACGTTACATTTTTGGAGAGATGCACGTCAGGGTACGCGCGCTACACAGCTACGGCGTGAGTTCGACGCAGAAGTATAAATTGGGCTTTACCTCTGTTTAATGTAATCTTAGGTGGGAAACCATGGCATGCCATGACCAAACCTAAGCTGCTATCAGAGAAGTAACGTTGGTCGACTTATATCTGTAGTAGTGATCATGACCCTTTGACTACATAGACTGTTTCTGCTGCTCCCTGATACAAGATACCTGTTCAGAAAAAAACACACAAGAAAACAGGACTCGTTTTAACAAGCTAGATAAAAGGTAATGCTAAAGGTAATGCTAGATAAAGGTAATGTAAACAAAGCTATTTGCCACTGCCAGGGGGCAAATAGCTTTGTTTAAATATTTGATTTGATTACATTAATGTTTAAGTTGAGATTTACAAGAAATATTTTATTGATACTGTGTAAAGGGAATACTGCTGGTATAAAAGCACCTTATTTGTTTAAAGTTTTTGCAAACCACATGTTATTGCACTTTTGTAGCAGTACATTTAAATCAAAAGTGCACAATACACTACTTTAGAATTCATTATTCAATTTTGCGCGTAACAATGCGATTAATCGCGATTAATCGCAAGAAGATCATGCGATTAATCGCGATTAAATTTTTTAATCGTTGCCCAGCACTAATTTAAATATATATACATAGTTATCTTAATGTGTATATATATATATTTATACTTAAAAAAAATCTAAATATATGCTAGGATAATATAAATAAATAGTTAAATTACAAAAAATACTGAATTTGAGGAAAAACACAAAGAGCCCTAATTTTATCTTTGCTAATCTTTTAATAAATGTATGTAAATTGGTGTAAGTTCCATGATTTAAATTAGTTTGACATGCTTTTTTACCTATTAAAATTGAATCAAATCATTAAAATGGAATTTTAAATGGAGGGGAATAAACTAAATGGTTGAAAGGCTTTAAAAGACCTGTCCACTGTAGTGGACATCATGTGTCAGAGGGCTAATCTGAAAAATGATTTCTTGGCTTTGCTTTTAATTAATGTACCTTTTAAAGTCTCTTTTTTTAAATGTACTTTCTGACTATTGTTGTTTTGTGTTTCTTCTCAAAGACCTCAGAGGGCTTGAACTTCTCACGATCACATCACATAGTGGAGAAGACCACACTGTATGACATGGACCTGGACGCCACGCGCACACACACGGCCATTGCGTGCCAGGACCGCAACATTAGGTAGGTACTATAACATTAGTACTGTGAACTTCTGGTTGAAAGGGTCAGTTCTTATGTATGTTTGTTTTATGCTCGGTACAATAATTATTTGTCTGCTTTTAAGCATAACAATGACATTTATCAAATCTTCAAAGAGTTATATGCATTAATATATGTTCTTTTGTATGTTCAGAGTGTACGATGTGAGGAGTGGCAAGATGAAAAAGTGTTTCAAGGGTTCCCTGAATGATGATGGGACACTGCTCAAGGTGTGTGTGTGGTAGTTAGTTACACAAACAGCATTATACACACAGAGTAAATTATGTTTGCAGTCAAAACCCTTTGCATTGTTGGCAATAAGATTGTGTTTCTGCTCTCAGGTCCAGTTGGATCCCTCTGGCATGTTTCTGGCCACCAGTTGTTCAGACAAAAACATCTGCATCTTTGACTATGAGTCAGGCGAATGTGTGGCCACCTTATTTGGACATTCGGGTACGTTTATTTTTCTTAATCAATGATTTCATTCTTACTCTTCAGAAATATGTATGTGTAAAAAAAATAAAGTACATATATATATATGTGTGTGTGTGTATGTATATTTATTAAAAAAACGTTTATTCTCCCTCAGAAATTGTTACAGGAATGAAGTTCAGCCGGGACTGCCGGCATCTGATCACCGTATCTGGTGACAGGTACATCTTTTAAATTGGTTTTTTACTTTATTTTACTACTGATTTTTCCAGAAACTGTTTTATACAGTATAAAAAAAAAAAAGTATTTACAGTATTTGACCTTTTAAATATTTTAACATTTTTTAATCCGATATCAAACAACATGCAAACGTGGATTGAAGGATTCCCGTGGGTCCTTAAAGTCTTGTCTAATCAAATTTAAAGCTGTAAAAAGCTTTATATCCTAAATCTTATAACAAAAGTCTTAATTATCATTTTAAGAGGTCTTAAATTTGGGCATGGATAAACAGGAATCATCAATACACTTCATGTGATTATTAAACTTCAATAGGCGATGATTTAATTAAATTGATCACTGAACGTTCAAAGTCTAAATGTGGCGCTGTTGTTCAGAGCAATCAATAAATACCATGCTTTTGTATTGCTTATGATTATCTTTTTTTCTTTTTTTTTGACTTATGGCAATGTTTACTTTGTTTTTATATTTTAATGTTTTTGATGTTTGAAAGTGTATTTTCTCATCTTTTTGAGTGAGCAGCTGGGAGTAGTAAAGCTTAGAGATTACAAGTCCATTTTGAGCCACATATGCTGAAAGGCACAAGCTTTGTTAAATGGCTAAAGTAAATTAGATAGTACAGAATATCAAAATGTCACAAAAGTATTAGTCTCTCACATTAGCAGCAACGCTTCAAATTCTTTCTTGAAAATATTCTCTGCTCAACCTTACCTCAGTGCGTGTTAAAAACACACTCACTGATTCAGATCACAGTGTAATGTGTGTTTGTGTGTCCAGCTGTGTGTTTGTGTGGCGCCTGGACTCTCAGATGACCAACTCCATGAGGAAGAGGTTGGCGGAGAGAAAGCAGAAAGCAGGCCTGAGGGTTCAACGGGCCCCCAGCAAACAAGAAGCCATCAGGTAGAGTCATTTAGCCCCATGAAAACTGCGAATCTGATCTCTGCCTGTGTCACATTCGCGCTGGGGGTGTTTGCGTAGACCCAGGTTGAGTTGATGCGTGTGTGTGATTTGTGTATAGAGAGAGGTTTTTTGCAAACGTACTTCTAGGGGTGGGCAGTGCAAAAAAAAAAACTACATTGAGTTTAAGGTGCTGTCACATTTACTTTGACTGGATTTTGTGCCCACGAAATTCAAACAAATTCAATAGGAAAATGTACAATCGCGTGAGGGCGAAAGATTTCCCCTTGTACATTTCGCAACTGGTTCAAGTTAGACACATGGATTTAAAAAGCATGGTTTGACTGAGCTGTGCTTCATACATCGCTAACTACACAGATAGATTGCTGACCTTTTTGACCACTGTATTTTAGTCTTTAAGTCTCCCCGTAGTCAATCATTTTATCCCTTAAAACTCATCTTTGATCACCAAAATGACACATTGAAACTTTTTTTTTTTTTTCTGTGATAAAAAAATTATTCATGCCTTAAAATAGCTTGTGTAACTCTACATCCTTCATTTATTATTTGCAGACCCATCATATAGTTCATCATATAACATCATTATATACATCATGCACCTGTTATATTGCTAAATGTATTAGCGATTTCAAACAGTGTTTGTGTTTTCTCACCGCAGTTTTAAGGAGAATATATATTTAAGGAGATAATTGTGTTGATTTATGAATTTGTACAGTGTTTGTCTTAAAGCATATTAAAAACACCACATAGACATAAACAACAATAAAAACTTGATTTACACCACAGGAGGACTTTAAATGTTATAATGAAATCTTAATTATTTAAAGCAGTCACGGTAAATCACAATACAGCTTAATATAATGCTGCAATTATGACTTTTTTTCTTTATTTTATTTTCATCATGATAATCTTCACAAATGTCAAGATTCATCAGGCTCAAGTTGTGAAACAATGGTAATTAGGGCTGGGCGATATGGAGCAAAAAATATATCTCGATATATTTTGCTATATCTCGATATTCGATATATATCTCGATATCTTTACAGGAAAATGGATGTGAATACAACTCAAATTATAGGCCTACAATCAATAGAAAATTAATTTTCCATAACAGAATGTAACCAAATGAGAAAAATTAAACACAGGGCCTGAATTTCGTCATCATTATTAATCACGTGATTCATAGAAACTGAATAAAGTAATCAAATGGAAAATAACACTGAGTAGTATTTTAGTCCTGAATAAATTAAATACATAGGTTATTAATCCTGATTCCTTTAACTTAAAGCTATCTTTTGTTGTATTGACAACAAAATGAATGACACACACATATGGCTTCCGTCACTTTAAGAGCTAGTGCACGGATCCTGTGTTCATTATACTGGCATGCGTTTTATGCTTATTAAAGACAAAACCGACTATGTTTAGAGTATACTCACGACGACCGAAATTGACAATTTAGCGTGTTAAAGCAATATAATCCGCGAAAAATAACTTTTGTTACTGGCCAGCTGTTCTTAAGGCGGATTTTCTATGAATGTGCGCATAGAAAATAATTTCTCAGAGAGCGCGCGAGCACTGATTAGTTTAAAATCGCTTGAATGTTTAAACTGGTAAGACTTAAAAAGACGTGCAAATCGTAAACTTCAGTCACGATGCACTGCTGGCCCGATTGTGCGAGTGAATATCCATCATGTCCCGACTCCTAAACGTGAGTGTGTGTTATGGCCGCAGCTCTTGATGCTTGCCTTGCACAACACATTATGAGAGACGAGAAAGAAGCGGCACCGCTGAACACTCACGCTGTTTGTGAAATTGCGTCTGGCAGATAGTTGTTAAAAGAATGATTTGATTTTATAATCTGTGTGGATTACGATTGCGGGAATTTCCCGCATTATAAATGGGAGACCTGCGGGAATGATTAGAATTATGCGCAATACCCGCGCCGAAATTCGAGCCCTGCAATTAAAACAAGACGTTTGTAGTAGCCTTCTGATTACTGGAGTCCATTAATCGAACTTCCATGCCTCTTATATAGTAATTATATATTGTAGTATGTAGGCTACCAATTTACTAATGCAATTAATGCTCACACTCGGTTTCTCTCGTGCTCTGTCGCTCGCGCGCAGACACACTCGGAGTTCTGTAGCCTCCGGGCTGGTTGCGGATGAGACAATTGTTGAATGAGACAACACGCGAGGTGAGGGGGAACAAAAGCAAGGAGGCGGGGGCGAGCACAGCACAGAGAAGGCAAACAAGCAAAGTGGCGAAATCAGGATTAAATATAAACAATATATCGATATATACGATATGTCAAAATCCATATCGTGTTTAAAAAATATCTCGATATATTTTAAATATCGAGATATCGCCCACCCCTAATGGTAATTGAAATAAATGTGATGTAAGAGGTGCATCAATGTTTGGACAAGATGTTGTATTGTCAATGCTAGAGTCCAGCACTCTGTAAAGCCTCCTCCAGAACATCCCAAAGACTTTCAATCAATTTAAACTCGGATGTGGCAATTCATGATGTGTGAAAATTATTCTTCATGCTCCCTCACAACCTATTTTCACAATCTGAGCCTGATGAATCTCGGCATTGTCATCCTGGAATATGGCCATGATTTTTCTAAGAAATGAAGAGCTACACACTCCATCAATTAGAGTTAAGAACTGTTGCCAAACATATAACATCATAGAAACAATTATAATCACTGCAATAATGATCCAATCATAGACTCTTAAACATTTACCGATTTAAATACAAACAGTGACTTTTTTTGGCAGGGCAGCGAATAACAAGACTAAATACAATCGGCAGAAGTAAAGCTTCCCAACAGTTTCTTTCAGTCTTTAAAAAGCATTTTCCATAAAATTGAGTTAAAATGGTTTGCGTGATCATAACTCAACGAGGCTGTGAAAGCAACCCGTGAGTTAGATGAGTTTACCTGTTTGCCGTGAAGACATTTAATGACACATTTAGCCAGTTGTCAGAAACCGCCTTTAAGACAAGTAAAAAAATATCACAAGGGTGTATATTACTGATATATTTTATGTCATAGAATAAAACGTGAAGATATCTTGGGCTTGTGTTCAACTCAGACCTTATTTCAGGCATTTAACCAAAACCCCATTGACTTCAGGACGATGGATCCGGAAGTGCTAAAATTCTCATTTGTGTTTTGACCTACAAAAATATATCGTCCCTGCAGCACTCTGTGACTTATTCATCTTCAAAAGGCCATGATTTATTTAAATTAATGTGAAAGCCAATTTGTACTGTATGTTTACAAGAATTGCACATGCGTTTTAAAAACTGATATCTTGTCATAAATGGGAATGACTATCTGACTCTCTTTAAATGACTGTTGTTCAGGAGAGAGACCTACATCGCTGTGCCCTGCACTGCACCGCCTCACATGGAGGAAGAGGAGGAGGAGGAGGAGAATCCAGAAGATGCTGTGGACGACTGCAGGACTCCAGACAGACTCGACTCCACGGATGGTGCGTTGATGGGGCTCTTCTCTGGTGTTATCGGGCCTCTCCATCACATCAAGTTAGGGCCCAAGGAAATCCCTTTTATTTTTTCCCCAAATTCTTTTTTATTTAATTATTGAATTTAAATTTTAGTAATAAAAAACGTGTCTAATTAATGGAAATCAACATCTACAGCTTAACAAGTTATTAAAAGTTTTCTGTTTAAATTTTTCTGGATTCTGTTTTAGTTTTATAAACAAAAAGCATTTCTAATAAATTTAATTCATACAACTTTAACAATTTAATAAGGTATGCATTTTTTTACAATAATAGGGGCATTCAGAAATTCTGTGTTGTGTTTGGATTTTTCTGGATTTATGATTTAATACAAAATTTCAAAAGGCATTAACAATTAATATTTTAAAATGTTATCAATAGGGGTGGAACGGTACATGTATTCGTAATGAACCGAAACGGTACGGGCGTCACGGTTCGGTGCACGAATTTACACGGAGAATACACGGTATAAAAATAAATAAAACTCGTGTGAAAATTAATTAATGTAATGCGGAACTACTGTTAGATACGCGGGTTCTTTAGGGACACATAATCTGTACCATCGGCTAGCTCTGAACGCGCGTTCACTTCAAACGTTGGCTTTATACGCGCGTCCTATTCGCTTTGGACTAGCGTCGAACTAGACGCAATTTAACGCTCTATTCGCGTTTGGTGTGACCGCATAATGAACAGGCTGCGATGTCAAGATTGCAATGCTAGAGTGTGTGTGTGTGTGTGTGTGTGTGTGTGTGTGTGTGTGTGTGTGTGTGTGTGTGTGTGTGTGTGTGTGTGTGTGTGTGTGTGTGTGTGAGAGAGAGAGAGAGGCGCGGCCGCGATTGAACAGTGGAAACATAAAAAACATACTCCCTCATTTTGTTCATTCAGATCATTAAACCTGCAAAGTGTTTACTTATATTTGTGTACACTCGCAACACACACACACACACACATACACTGTTTTAAAAGCAAAACATATTTATCCAACTACATTTCAAAACAGTCTGTGGGTCCCATCATTTAGACATTCATCATATGGCATTGGTTTCCATTTCTTGTCCTCGGAGCACTAATCTTACACATTCTACATTGATTAAAAAAGAAAATCGTATGCGTTTTTAATGGTAATATTATTTTATACAGAAATCAATTATTTATAATTCAGATGAGAATAATGTTACATTGTTAATTAATAATGTTAATTAAAATTAAGGAAAACAAATATATGTATCTGAAATATAGCAAATTAATTTTAAATTAATTCAGGTACAATTACCAAACACATCGCAAGGTCTTTTTGTCTTTTTATTAATTTAATTAATAAACTAATTATATTAAACTATTGTCAGTGCACTACAAATAAACTGGTTCTATGCCTTTATTAATAAAACTTATTTAAAAAATACAATGCCTTCTGCATTTTTGTTTTGCTTTTCCCTCCATTGTACCGAAATCGTACCGAACCGTGATGTCTGAACCGAGGTATGAACCGAACCGTGACTTCTGTGTACCGTTCCACCCCTAGTTATCAAGTGAAAACACCAAAATAACACTTTTTAAATAGCTGTCTTTTTGCATGTTAATATTCACAGATACTAGTCCACATTGTGATTTGATTAATTATACCGCCCTACTTTTGATTTATTTGTCCAAACTTTTGTCCAGAAAAAAATTTACAGGAATTTACAGTGTGTGTTACACATGGTGGGAATCTTTGGGCCCTATTTCAATTTCACAAGCAAAATGTATTGAATTCTGTTTAAAATTGTATTTAATGGTCTTGACTGTTGCACTTTAGCATCTCTGGATTCTGTGGTGCTCCAAACCAATGGCAAAATGCCCATGTGGGTGCGCAGACTGGTATGTATGTTCCTGTTCTCATTAAATATGTCATTGCATATTGAATTCTGTCAAGACTAACGGATCTGCTTGATATCGCAGGGTGGAGGAGGTGAGAATGATGGTAGTGGCGTAGATAATCGAGCTCAGTACCAGCCTCAGGGACGCTGGGCAGTGCAGTCAGACCCACTAGCCATCCGCACCGTACTGGAGATGAAGAGCATGCAGCTTCCCCTGTCACACACTCCCAGCAGAGCCGTGGGAGAGGAGGACTTCGAGGAAGACTCGTGCTTCCACCCACAGAGTTTGGATAGTCTGTTGGATGAAGGCGTCGAAGACGATGATCTAGAGGAAGAGGAAAAAATTTGCAGTGTAAGTTTTGTTAATTTTGCAGTGCTAAACTAAGTTCATGATGATGCAATGGGCAATGTATGAATCAAACTCCTTAAGACTGCTGACAGTTTGTCTTTTTCAATGTGTCGTTTTATTATATAAATGTTTGTTTACCGACAAGTCATTTAGAACAGTGAAATCACTCCAGAAAGCTCTGTCCTGTCTTGCCTGCTCTCGGGGCGGGTGATGATTGCTTGCATTTAAATAATAATAATAATAATGGTAATATTTGTTCAATCCTTAAAGGAACAGTTCACTTAAAAATGAAAAATCTGTCATTTTTACTCACCCTCAAGTTGTTTCAAACAAACCTGTATAATTGTCTTTCTTCTGCTGAACACAAAGGAAGATATTTTGAAGAATGTCAGTAACCAGACATGGGGTCCATCAACTGTCTGGTTACTGTCATTCTTCAAAATATCTTCCTTTGTGTTCAGCAGAAGAAACTCATACAGATTTAGAACAACTTGAGGCTGAGTAAATGATGACAATTTTCATTTTTCAAGTGAACTATTCCTTTAACAACTGATCATGGACTACTGGGGAAAAAAACATGGACATTTATTGGTGAAAATTTGTCTGAACCCTGATTGTTAGTTTGGTACTCTTGGTCTTTTATCCCTGGCTGGCTTCACGTGGCCGGATATTGGAGAGTAATATTTCAAGCCATCTAGTGTGACAAACAACCTAAAATCTATTGCTCAAAGAATGAGCCAATAGTAGTAGCGATGCTTGTCTTGACACGAGTAACTTCACTAACAATTGTAACCACATAATTGTCTGCTGCTGCTATAACTGAAACATGAAAGTGTTTGTTTATTTGTTGTAGGTTTCCAGAGATGCGTTTAGCTCTTCTCTCCAAGGGCCAGATTTTCTGCAGTTGCCACATGGAGAGGAAAACTTCAATCCCAAGCACAGCTCACCAGAAAAGACTGGATACATTTTGTACCCTGCCAACAGCACTGCTCTATCCACTGGAGAAGGGTAAACCACTTATGACAACATCTGGCTTTGGTTCATTTTCCATTTTGGGAATAGGTTTATTAGCATTTATTCGTTTAGCAGATGCTTATCCAGCAACATGAGAATTGCTGCGATGCAATTGGTTTTGTTTTAATATTGGAAAATGCCTGGATGATGAGTTAGTGACATTGTGGTGAATACTGAAAAGGAAGCGGTCCAAGTATCAAGCCCTGAGGTATCCCAATGTTGGCTTGATGTGACCGTTACCAGTCCCCCACATTGAGTGACATTTGAGTTCATTTAATTCGAGGTACTTTTAAGTCACCTGATGTAGTTTTGGTTCCTTGCCACTGTCGCTTTTGGCTTGCTTAGTTGGGGACACTTAATATTCAACAATATTATTGATCTGCCTGCATTGACACCATTATATATGAGAACTGAACTGAGCTGGACGATGACATCACGGTTTTCGCCAGAGCGGCTGTATATATAAATTAACTAAATAAATAACTTTTTTTTTTACAACAAAAATGAACCATCACTGAACTTACTTGAGCTGGACTATGACACTTTTTTCTTCTAGAAACAAACCTTGTTGCATTATTTCCCTGTTATCACTGTAAAGCCGCTTTGAAACAATCTGTATTGTAAAAAGCGTTCTATAAATAAAGGTGACTTCTACTTTTTGCACAATTTATGAAAAGTGGGTGAGCTGGATTCAAGCTCTAAATGGGACCAAGCTACTGAACCAAGTGTGACAGTGTCTTACAACCCTGGTCCTCCCATTTACATGCTGTGAAACTGGATTTTTCTTTTACCCATAGTAAACTAGACTCTGCCATATGAAAGTCCCTGGTAGTCAGCATTTTTAACGTATTATCAATGTTTTGTTGTTTTGTTTCTTCCCTTTAGAGAGTTCGATGTTAAAGCTCTGTGTGAAGGGTCAGGTGGTGACCCTGAGGACGAGGAGCTCAGCCCAGATAGCGCTTGCTCTGCTGAGAGTCCAGCCTCCCACAGTGACCAGCCCCATGACCGTACGTGACATTACACGCTGTGTGCTGGAGAGTGTGTGGCCTAACACACTAGTAGTGGCCTTGAAGAGTTGAAGATCCTCCTGTTATTGTGACTTTATCTGTTGTGTTGGTTTCTTTAGAGGACACGGACTCCCTCAGTCAGGTGAGCTCCACGGGAAGCTCAGGAGTGGAAGAGGAAGAGGATGAAGAAGAATCTGGAACGCTGCTTCGCCAACATTTCGACACTCTGGGTGTGGCTGCTAATGGTACAACTTCAGCTCTTGTGCTGGTCTGAAGTGCCCTACTGTGTTAAAGCAACTGGCTTCAAAAATGTCATGTTTGCTAGGCATGATTCTTATCTTTTCACATATTAAGCATATCTCAAAGGGCTTCATTAGTTTTCCACTAAAGGCTGGAATACACTACTACACTACACACATTTTACGATTTTTTTGCTAATTTACAGTCAATGCTAGTTGCCAAAAATCAGAGCCAGTGTGCAGAGTTGACAGTTGCGTAGTGTATGATTGGGTACATGTTTAGTGTATAGACCAATTCACACTGTACGGAAAGATGGCAACAGACACTTTGGGTTTTGTTGGATCAGTTTACCCCACATGTTGAATCTGTGTTTGTCGCTTGTGACGTACTGTAATCCGGTGACTGTCTGCGTTGCAGTGGGAAACTGTGTGATGCTTTAGTCATGTAGTGTATTCCAGTCTTAAGATGATGTTGAAATCATCACTGCTGATCTAATCCGCTGTGGAAACTGTCTTGTAGAAAAGTTCAACACAGACTTGAGCTGTCTGCAGCCCAGCGGCACAGAGGGTAACTTCCTCAATCCTCGTCTCAGCATCTCCACACGCTTCCTCTCCCGCTTCCAGAGCCGCTTCCGGTGAGTCCACACAGCGTGCCGTCAAGCTGTGTAATGGAGAAACATGAGTTTGCACTTCTGGTTATCCCTTCCCTTTTTAGATCGTAATGAAATGAGGGAAGTAACTGTGTGTGCTGTAGTGGCGAGTCATAGTTTAAATGGCATTTATAATGTAGTTTGTGTCTGGTGTTTCAGCGCTGTAGGGTCTAGTAGCAGTGCTGTGTGTCGGCTCGCAGCGTGTCTGCCCAGTATACCTGACGAGTCCAGTGCCGGCTGCCAAACCCTCGACGCAACAATGGTATGATACTCACTCTCATGAATAATGTCATGTACTCTTCAGTCTGAATGGTGTGTGTGTGTGTTTATACAATATGAGCCCGCTGGTTCTTCATACCGGTCTAGACTCAGACTGAACGCTAATATGCCACGTCATTGTGACATTTCTTCAGCTTTAGTTTTTAAAGCCAGAAGAATATGGCGCAAGCAATCCTAAATTTAACCACTTCTTCTTTATTGTTAAAAATAATCTGTGATGCCATTTATTTTTCCATGTGTAACCTCTATGTACATTAGCATCTCAAAAATGTGATTTTAGGTTTTCATAACTCTTTAAAGGGTTAGTTCACCCAAAAATGAAAGTTCTGTCATTTACTCGCCCTCATGTCTTTCAAACCCATAAGACTTGCATTCATCTTTGCAACGCAAGTGAAGATATTTGAAACCTGAATGATTTTGGTCCCTCCATTCCACCAAGATCATAACACTGCTTAATGTAGATTACTTTTTATGATGTAGTTTAATCCAAGTCTTCTGAAACATTGATCAATGCACATACTGTACATAGAGCGCATCATCAAATATGGTAAACAGTAGCTCAAATGTGATCTATGTACAGGATGTGTGTTGATCAAATGTGAATAAAAAGAATATAAATCACCTAAAAATGTTAAATTAAAGGGTTAGTTTAAAAATGAAAATTCTGTCAATTTCTCACCCTCATGTCCATCCAAACCCGTAATGAACTCCGAGATTTTTCTGTCCCTCCATAGACTATAACAACTTTAAGGCCCAGAAAGGTAGTAAAATTAAGGTTGAACCACTGCGGTCACGTGGACTATTTTAACGAAGTGACGAGAATACTTTTTGTGCGAAAAAAAACAAGAATATCGACTTTATTCAACAATTTCTTCTCTTCCGTGTCAGTCTCTGGCGCTGTTCACATGGTCAACACAGTGAAGCGCTTCTGGGTCGTATTCAGAACGCCGGCTCATTATTGGCCAGCTTCAGTATCACACGCATGTTGTGGTGCTCAGTGAACAGCGTCAGAGACTGACATGGAAGAGAAGAAATTGTTGAATAAATTCATTATTTTTGTGTTCTCATTGCTTCATAAAATTAAGGTTGAACTACTGTAGTCATACTGACTATTTTAACAATGTCTTTATTACCTTTCGTGGCCTTGAAATTGGTTATTACGTTGCAGTCTATGGGGGGTCAGAAACGAAATGAGGGTGAGTAATTAATGACAGAATTTACATTTTTGGGTGAACTACCTTTATATGATGAACAGATTTAAAGGGTTAATTACAATTTTAGTAAAGATGACCTCAAAGCTGATGGAGCATAGACAAACTAAAAGCCACACTACTTCTAATTCCTAAGTGAAACTATACAGTAGCTAGAAACGTTGGAGATGATAGGAGTTAGGAGATGATAATATTGGTTACGTCAATAGAAACAGTTTTTTCTATTGAATGGAGTACTTTTCAATCGAACCGTTTGCATTACTGTCTTTGTCTTTTGGACTTTTTGTTAATTTAATAACAAATGATCATTTCGACGGAAGTGAATCAATCAAAACTAACTTTGGCTGGAAAATAACATTATTCAAGAACCGCTATAAAACCAAACCAATCTCTGTTGCCTTAAATTATATTTATCTCTGTGAGGCTGCTTTGAAACAATCTACATTGTTAAAAGCGCTATATAAATGAAGATGACTTGACTTAATGTTTTCTTTTTCTCCTGCTTTTAAGGACAAGTCAAAGCTTCTTTCAAACAACAGTGGAAGCATTGAGGAGAACGAGAAGAGTGGTATGTCCCGCTACCTGTTAATACAATGCATTTTACTTCTGACTGTGAGTGAAAGTGTCCAATAACAGGGAGGTTCAAGACCCTTATGTTCGCAAAAAAGCTAGAGAGCGTAGCATTATACTGTTAGCCAACACCCAACGCTGTCCCAAGATGCATTTAGATGAATGATGCTTTTCCTATTAATGATAGTAAACCTGCAACAAAAATGACAGCAGTGAGAAAAAAGCAGTTAAGAAAGCACTTTATGCAATAGATTGCTTTAAAGCAAGATGATTTATAGCATTAAACATGAAAAAAAAATTGTCTGTTACAATTTGAACTTCAGTGTCTACTATAAAGCAGCTCTCCAGGGTGTTCGTGTTTTTACTTGTGGAGTTCTGACCTCAAGGACTGAACAGAAGAAATTAAATGGAGAAGATTCCCATGTTAAAGGAGGCGGAGCCTCAGATCTACACCTAAGTATTACGTAATCTCCATGTACCAATGGTAGTTCAAAGGTGTTTACCAGCCAGAGCAAACATTTTCCGAAAATTCACTTTGGTTTCAAACTCCAGTTCATTCTTCTATTTTGGTTGAAGTATATCGGGGCCTTAAAGGGGTCATGAACTGGCTTTAAAAAAAAAAAATTTATATTGTTGTCTGAGGTCAACTTATGACGTCCGCTTGGTTTTTACATTCAAAAACATCAAAATGAATAAGTAATAGGCTATATTCTACCCTAGTTTTGAGCCTAGCTCAAAAACGCTCTGTTTTTATGGGCGTCTCGCATTGAAGACTTGGAAGTAAACGCCCACTGCTGTGAGTGGATAACAGTTTTGCATATTATAATGAGGTAGGCCTATGTCATTTAGCTATGCGTGTAATGCGCGAATCGGTGGGCGGGGCTAAACCGGCCGTGTTGAAGTAGGCTTTATCCTCTTTGTCGTCATAGTTCCCCACTTTGAAAAATGAGTCGTTTGCTGAGCCTGGTGTCAAAAGCTTTTATTGGACTAACAAGGACGTTTTCAGTTCTGAAACTTACAGGATATTCTTATAATATGATGACCTCTTAGATGTCAAAAGCTCAAGGAAAATTTGATTTCTCAGTTCATCACCCCTTTAAGAATAGAATTTGACTGGTCGTGTGATCTCAACGTGTCTGGTCCGATGAGGCAGTCCTCTCCATGTAAAGTAACTTCAGTCTTCAGCAAGAAAGTACATGGATTTTATTGGTTTAAGCTCTTTAACAACATTTAAAAAAAAAAAAACATTTTTTTCCTCTCAGAAATGCTGTTGAATTAGAAGATATTGGATGTTCCGGCACTGTTTTAGTCATTTTAAATTTTAAAAATCTTGTCCTTCAGTTACCAAGAAACGCTCCTCGATGTCTTCCCGGAAATCTTGCCAAAACTTATCTTTGTTACGCTGGAAAAATGCTCTGGGAGGTCTGTAAGAGTGTCTTGGGTGTTTGTTTTTTTATGTCTGGGGTTTTAAAGTCAGTAATCAGAATAATTTCACATGGGTGTCTTTGGCTGCGTCCCAAATCGCATACTTCCCTACTATATAGTAGATGAAAACCGGTACGAATTCACAGTATTCATTAAACGGTAGGTGGATAGTTCTACACTTTACTATCCCATGAGGCCACGGGAGAAGATTTTTGAATGGCAATAAAGCTGCGCCACTGACACTAGTAGGTCACATGACAATGACCACATGGCAGACGTAGTATGCCAAGGTTAAATTCATACTACACACATTCATGCTCTGTGCAGAAGAACATGCCTTTCTCAATGGTCGTGAAGTACCTACTCGTGGAGTGTGATTTCGGACGCAGCCTTGGTGTTTTCATGCTCAGTTTATCTCTTTTAGTTTGTGGTTCTTGGTTTTCTTTGTGCAACTGGGGTTTGAACTACCAGCTTTAAAAGCTACATTAGAAGTTTTATTAAAAGAACACCAATCCAAATACGTCTTTTTGTTCTTTTCAGAAATCTCAAACAAGACCATTCATTCCAAAGCTGCCAATAATACCGTCAACGCCACAACAATTCTTGCCACCAAATCTGCCAGCAACACCAAAGATGCAGACGCCTCGGTTACACGTTCCCGCCAAAGCTACATGGGACCCACTGCAAGCTCCCGCGCTAAGATCGCGCAGAGCACCTCTGTGGAGGCTCTGAACGTGTGTGTGTCGGAGGAAACGCAGCTAAACACCCCGTCCTCGTCACTGGACCCAACCGTAGAGCAAAGCAAAGAGAACATTATTCCTCTTCCCTCGGGACCGCCTCATCCGACTCCGGCCTTGGGAAACCACAGTGCCCGGGCAGCGCTTCGATTGGACCTCGTTGGCCCCGGCCGGGCCAGTTCGTCTCCGGTGTCGCTGAAGACCCGTCTGGGGAAAGTTGAAGGTCCCGGGTCTCCGTGTCGACAGGCTTTGGTGACGCCCACTGAGATGCGGTCACTGGGGAAAGAGTGTCGGAAGCAGATCATTCATATTGAGCAGAGTTTGCCCACAAAGACTTCAGGCAGGTTCTCGACAGGGTATGACATGTTTTCCGGGAAGCCCAGTGTGTCGACGGTGGTTGAAGACCTGCAGTTTACAGGGTCATGTGAGAACACACAGACCTCGGGTCAGATCGCAGTAACTCTAGACGGAGAGGATTCGACAGGAAACGACTGCCTTGGGGAGAACACAGGTAATGTGTAACTCCGTCTCTGAGTTTGGGTTGCTTATAACGCGCGTTTGAGAGCTCAACATCCGTGATAATCTATTATCAAAGAGAAGCTTTAAGGTCTCCCTGTGGCTTTCCGTCAAAATAAGTCTTAATTCTGAAAGAGATGCTCCATAGATGCTGAAGTATTCCTTAATACATACGAATAGATGCTTCCATCTAGATCCAAATTCGTGTTTACGTTGCTCAAAAATGAGATTAATATGGGTTTATGCCTGCTGTCTGATTATTGGCTTAATCAGGTTTTTGCCATTAGGTTAATCTGTTTATATGCCTGAATTCGAACTAACATAGGGTTGTTTTTTCGTATGTACCCGCAGTTATTAATGGGATTGGTTTGTTTTTGTCGTCAGGTCTTTCTGCAGGGTCGCTGAGTGTCCAGATGTGTAAGAAGATGGTGAATGAACTCTGGCACACCATCCATAAAGCAACTGGCTTTTACAGCGAGGTGATTTCTCTTGTTCTCGTTTGAACTGAAAGCAACTTGGACCGGCATATCTTAAAATATGTCAGTGCCGTTGTTTTGTCAAGATGCACACATCCGTAATGTTTTTTCTAAGGCTCTTAGAAAGCACTTGTGAAAGCTACTTAAATGTCCTAATTGAACTAAGGCCTAATCTTGGCTTAATCTAAACCCTGTCTGTGAAACCAGGCGTAGTGTTTGTTTGTTTTTTTCTTCCTGAGAAATAATGATCCTGAAAAAAATTCAGTTTAAAGAATAAAATCTTCAGCAGCACAACTGTTTTCAGCATGATGGTAATACGAAATGGCTTGAAAATAAAAAATACGGATTTTTTTTTCTTCCTGAAGGATCATGTGACACTGAAGGCTGGAGTAATGATGCTGAAAATTCAGCTTTCACAGAAATATTTTAAAATATTAAATATAAAAAAGATTTCACAAAAGTAGTTTAATTCATTTTTACTGTTTGATTAAATGCAGCCTTGGTGAGCAGAAGAAACCCTTTTCAAAAAATCTTAAATGAAAACAATTTTAACAACTATGTTTTTAAATTGTTGGATCAATTTATACATGCAAACTGGCATTAAGAAAATGAATTTCTGTAATTCTATTGTTGTACAGAGTTGCCTTAACATTCATGTCCCAGTTTTCTTTAAAAGTCTCTCTCTCTATATATATATATATATATATATATATATATATATAAGACTGTCAGTTAAAGCGTTATTAACGGCGTAAATTTTTTTATTGTGCGATTAACGGACAATATCAGGACCTCGACAGTATTTCTTTCACCGTTTTATTGATGGACAGTGTTACATTGTGTGAGAGATTATTTGCTCCAAGTGAGAATGTTAGTGTGAAATTGAACACGTATATGCCAATGTTGTTTTCAATAAAAAACATTTGCACAAAGCAAGCCGATCCACTTTTCCATGTTGATAAGAGCATTAAAATGAGAAAAAATAATGGGACAAAAAGAAATCAAGAGACATTTAGAATAGATAAAAATGTGCGATTAATTGCGAGTTACCTATGACATTAATGTGATTAATCGCGATTTAAATATTTTAATTGTTTGACAGCACTAATATATATATATTTAAATAAATATAAATAAGATGTGTATGTATATAACACGACTGTTATTAACCTGCCAGAAATAAAGCAACATATTGGATTTTTCTGTAGAAATGATATAACAGGGGTGTTCAATTACACTTCCAAAAGGTCCGGTCACTATATTTCCTTCCTAGCGGAGGTTCGGAAAATATTTCTTTGGAATGGTTATACATTTCCATCTGGGCAGCAGTGCTAAAATAACACAAATCCCAAACAGTCAAAATAGAAGCAAAGAATAAAGTATCGTGTGCCCTCAGAGCCAAAGCAGTGAGTCAGAACTAAAGAAACAACAATATTCATCAGTTGAGCCCAGTTAAATAAGAATATTAAAAGGTAAGATTGGGTTTTATCAGGTTATTGTTATTTTTACATTTAGATACCCATGTAGGACAGAAGGCCATGTGACAAAAGATACTGCAAGAGGAAAACCCTGAACCCCCTTAAAGTCACTAGCCATTGTTATTTCTTTGTTGTTTAGAATCCAGTATTCCCGTTATTCTTTTGTCTTTTACGAGTTTAATAAAGAACTCCGTCTGTCTAAACACACCACGTCATGATCAAGTCAATGATTGACTTGTATGTACGTCTAAATGCAAAAGAAAATGCATATTTTCAGTTCGCAATTTGAATGGTAATGGAAACGTGGCTGTTGTGTGGATGGAACCAAGCCAGGGTCCGCTATCTGAGGACTCCCCTTTTCTATAGCGTTCTTCACACTTACATCCATCTAACGGTCAAACTGTTTGTGTTCCCTCTGTAGTTGTGCTCCATCCCGGAGCTGTCGGAGCAGCAGGAACAGATGAAGAGTATTTTGCAGGAGGTGTTTGTGGGCGTACAGTGCGAGTTACTCTCCCTGTGCCCACAGGAGACCCGCGCCCGTCCCGTCCCGGAAGACTCCCCCGGCCGCCAGCTGCGGGACGCCCGGGCCGTGGCCCTCCTGGAGAAATACTCCGAGATGCTCTTACTGCGAATGACTGAAAAAGGAGCTCCGCCCGCACTGGAGTAACGGCTTGTTTTATTGGCCGAAATGAACTTCTAACGCCATACCCCCATAAGCACCTTTAAACTTTTGAATGTCTTGCGTTGCTTTTATGCTTTTAAATAAGCATATTTGATGCTTTTTGTAAAACTGGCTTTTTTTTTACACTACATTTCAATCAGTGTATTTGCTCACATACACTTTAATTATTTTTATCCTTTAAAGATTTATCAAGGCAAACCCTTCAGGACCTTTTCCTTCAATTGTTTGTTTTCCATATTTCATGTAGAATTTTGAAACAGTGTTACTTTTAGGATACAAACAGTTGAATTATGTACTTTTGTAGTTTTGTGTTGAAGTTCTCGATGTTTGATGCTTTTTGTAGTTTCACAGCATTTCACGCAGACTAGCGACGAGTTGTTCCGTTGTCGTGTTTTGAATATAGATATGATTCCTGAAGCGCCAGGCTGAGACTCACGGTTTGCTTGGTTTTGCCACTGGTGTGCTGATTATGCTTTGTCATGTTGATGTGCAATCCTTTTTCTTTTTTTTTTACTGAAAATGTATAGTTAACTTTTTAGGAAAGCTTTGTAAATATGTTTTAATCAGCCATTTACTCTATTTTAATATTAAACATTTTATTATTAAATATTATTGTTTTTTGTGGTTCCTTATGATTTTGAAATTATTAATTTTTTTTTTTTTTTTTTTACAAATTATCTATTCAGTCCATTGAAAAGGAAGAGGAATCATTTTGCATTTTGGAAAAGTGTTACGACCCCATGATTTTTTATTTTTTTATTTTACGTTTTTAAAGCTTGGATAAGAGATAAACATTCTGTACCAGGTGTTTTCTATCTTTTAAATGACACAGACCCCCAAATATGATCTACCTCGGGCCAGGGCATCTATATATTTACATGTATAAAGACCCAATTCATACTGAAAAATTAATAGTATAAATCTGTCTAAAACATTATTTGTTAAAAAAAATTGTTTCTATTAAATTAGTTCTTTTTTCCTGCTTACTGTAGTTGTATTTTTATTTTAGTCTGTTTTATATTTAGTTTAGTCATTTTTATTTCTAAATCAGTTTTAGTAAATCAGTACATCAAATAAAACTTTATTTAAAAGCAACATTTCTAATTTTCAGTTGTTTTTCATCTAATTTTTATATTTAGTTTAATTTTTGTAATTAATGCCAACATTTTTAATAAACATTTTGTTTAGCAGTAACTTTCCTTTTAAGAGTGTAGTATTTTAATATGTATTCTGTAAATTACCTTTGGTTTTGGAAAACACTGATGTAGTTCAAATGTATGAATTTACACATAATTGTGTGTGTGAAAAATTAATACTACATTTATTGCAGATTTTTTTCTAAACTTTTTCACAGACCCCACAGCACTCCCTTGCGGTTCCCGACACCGGCAGTTTTGCTAACTTAGAAATTTTGTTGCAAGATTGAACAACTTTTTTTGGTTCAAAAAGCACCTAACAACAAATTTAGCAATATTTACTATTTATTTGGCCACTTTTAGCAACTTTTGAAAAGTGACGTCAGATGATAAAAAAGGCACTTGCAATTGTTCAATAACAATTGTTCATTTATGATGCACCTTTTTATTAGCTTGTACCTATAATTGTTGATTACACTGTAAGAAAAAAATATGTAGAAAAACAGCTGTGATTTTCTGCCAGGACATCATTTCCTGTAACCCTAAAACACAAAACACAATGCTTAAATTAAAATATGGATAAAACACCTGTAAAAAATCAATGTGGAAAAATCCTTCATATTAACACAGTATTGTGGCCTGTTTTTAAGGACTTTTCTTCGTGCAGCAGAGCAAACTATAACCAGTGTTTGGGAAAGTTACTTTTAACAGGTATGCGTTACAATATTGCGTTACTCCTTAAAAAGGTAACTAATTGGATTACTTAGTTACTTTTTATGGAAAGTAATGCGTTCTGTTACTTTTGCGTTAATCTTTCTCACCTGGGCTGGACTTGCTTGATTGTTTTTTGATACCAATAAAAATTATTTTTTTTTGTCAAATGTAAAGGCCCTTTCACACCAAAAGTTAAATGAATAAGCCTCAAGTTGAAGTGCACATTCAAGTCTGTATGGCTAATAAAGTGAGATTAAATACATGAAGTATGTGTGTTATTTTATTATTGTAGGTTTTTGTAATATTCTGATTTTGCATTTCACTGATTTTATTCATTTTGAGGAATACTGGATGTGTTTTTGTGCAGTGAGATGAGTAAATGCATGTTCATTGTTCACATAGTCTAGAACTACAATAAGCATCATGTTCACACACAACGGCTCTGCACTGACTCACGATTCAGGAGAACTGTCAGGCCAGAAATGGGAAAACAAAGTACAGTAACTTGCGTTACTTATAAAAAGTAATTCTGATGTTTTGTTGTAAATTTAAAAGTAATCCGTTACTTACTAGTTACTTCTAGCCATCTGATTACGCAACTCGCATTACTTGTAATGCGTTACCCTTAACACTGACTATAACTACTATAGCTTAAAACTAGAATTGTTCAGCATGTGTAGTTTAACTTGTTAATAAGAAAATACATAAGATGTAATTGTTCAAAAATGTGTAAATGTTCAGTAATTCAATCTTGTATTAAAAAATTGCTGTATTTATCTGATCATAAAAAAATGCATAATGTTTATAATATTACTTTTACAAATAATATACACTCATCAAAAGGATTATTAGGAACACCATACTAATACTGTGTTTGACCCCCTTTCGCCTTCAGAACTGCCTTAATTCTATGTGGCATTGATTCAACAAGGTGCTGAAAGCATTCTTTAGAAATGTCGGCCCATATTGATAGGATACCATCTGGCAGTTGATGGAGATTTGTGGGATGCACATCCAGGGCACGAAGCTCCCGTTCCACCACATCCCAAGGATGCTCTATTGGGTTGAGATCTGGTGACTGTGGGGACCATTTTAGTACAGTGAACTCATTGTCATGTTCAAGAAACCAATTTGAAATGATTCGAGCTTTGTCACATGGTGCATTATCCTGCTGGAAGTATCCATCAGAGGATTGGTACATGGTGGCCATAAAGGGTTGGACATGGTCAGAAACAATGCTCAGGTAGGCCGTGGCATTTAAACGATGCCCAATTGGCACTAAGGGGCCTAAAGTGTGCCAAGAAAACATCCCCCACACCATTACACCACCACCACCAGCCTGCACAGTGGTAACAAGGCATGATGGATCCATGTTCTCATTCTGTTTACGCCAAATTCTGACTCTACCGTCTGAATGTCTCAACAGAAATCGAGACTCATCAGACCAGGCAACATTTTTCCAGTCTTCAACTGTCCAATTTTGGTGAGCTCTTGCAAATTGTAGCCTCTTTTTCCTATTTGTAGTGGAGATGAGTGGTACCCGGTGGGGTCTTCTGCTGTTGTAGCCCATCCGCCTCAAGGTTGTGCGTGTTGTGGCTCCACAAATGTTTTGCTGCATACCTCGGATGTAACGAGTGGTTATTTCAGTCAAAGTTGCTCTTCTATCAGCTTGAATCAGTCGGCCCATTCTCCTCTGACCTCTAGCATCAACAAGGCATTTTCGCCCACAGGACTGCCGCATACTGGATGTTTTTCCCTTTTCACAGCATTCTTTGTAAACCCTAGAAATGGTTGTACGTGAAAATCCCAGTAACTGAGCAGATTGCGAAATACTCAGACCGGCCCGTCTGGCACCAACAACCATGCCACGCTCAAAATTGCTTAAATCACCTTTCTTTCCCATTCTGACATTCAGTTTGGAGTTCAGGAGATTGTCTTGACCAGGACCACACCCCTAAATGCATTGAAGCAACTGCCATGTGATTGGTTGATTAGATAATTGCATTAATAAAAAATTGAACAGGTGTTCCTAATAATCCTTTAGGTGAGTGTATATATACATAGAATATAAATAGAATATAAAGAAGAAACAAAGACTTTGATGTATGTATTTAATATATTGTAATTTCTACTTACATTTTATTATCAATATAATTGTATATAGATATACACACACACACACACACACACATACAGGGTGGTACTTTTTGCCATTGAGATGACTTGGAAAAAGTGTATATTATTTTATATTACAGTATAATCTTATTGTGAATTCTATGCATTGACGTCATCGCACAATGAGATCAAAACGTGATTTAGTAACTTTTTTAGCAACAAATCGACCTGTCTTTAGCAACTTCCCCTGCAAATTGGTGGTTGGCAACACCCCCGACAGCAACATAGTGTCGTCGGCCCACATCTGGTACATGTGGATTCAACCCGTACCAGATGTGGGCTGGATCTGTCTGGGACTGGACACCAGTTTGCAAACTGCTATCAAAGTAATATGTAGCCTTTGGCAGAAACCATGGTACATTTTGTAATGGACAATACAATAAGTGTTACCCAATATTTTCCACTTACACTAAGACTAACCTGACATTTTATATTTAAAACCCACGGTGTTTGTCATACATGAACTGTGAAGTGCGACTCTTGTCAGCCTCGTAGTGGCTGTCAGTCATGCACATTAAATCACAATAGTGTGTGTGTGAGCTGAGGTTTCTGTGCTGAAGTGTTAAATAAAGAAGCCCGGAGTGTTTTAGGGAAGTGTTTGTACAGCTGAAGCACTTTTCCGCATTGGGTGGCAATGTTACTCGCAAATATAACTATTTTCTACAGCACACGCAAGCTAGTCACGACAGGAGGCGCTTTACAGCTCAGAAAAGCGAACTGCCATGAGCAGCATTCAAATTTCAAGACGTTTTTTTTTACTCATTAGTACACTAAATGTATAACATTTTAAATATTTAATTTCTATGGGAGTTATCAGACACAGAAATAAAAATGTACCCCAGAATAAATTGTTTAAAATAACCGCAACTTGTAATCACGACGCCTGTGATTGGTCCATCATGACTAATCGCTTAGAAAAGTGACTCATGTCACATGATACAGGACAATAGGCCACGCCCATTTTATCTTCTGTTCTTTATACGCTGCTCGCTCTGTTTCTGCGCTTGAGACGCGCGCACAGATTAGTCATGATTACTCATCAGAAGCAGAGAAGTCA